CTAATATGATGCGATTTTATACCCTTTATTGTCCTCTTATCAACTCAAATACGTAAAAACACGTAAAAGAGTTTCAAAAGCAAAGGTTTAAAGTAATGGGTATGTTAGACAGTTAAAATGAGGTAGGGTGAGGGATTTGGTGAGAGAATACTACTTCCAACTGGAGTCGTCATAGACTGACACACCAAATGTAAATACATGATCAAAGACACACACTTATGATGCAGCTGTTGGGCCCCTTTTTCAGTTAATATATCCAGAATTTACCAGCCGACTCGTTGACTCGTTGACTCATCGAAGGCTGTTGGGAGTCTATTACTTTTTCTTGGAATGGTGAATAATAGTTTTAGAACCTTCTTCACATCCATCATTTGATAATGATGGATGTGAAATGTGCTTTGTTTTCTTAAGTTAATCAACTGGAAGAGACAGACACAAGGGAACCGAAACAATTTATTTCAGTGCCCAGCCATAACATCAACAGATGACTTATAATTACCAATCGATGCAGCTGCAAGATCATTCTCTCGGTAATATTCTACACAGGTCAATAAATAAACCCTGTGGTCATTAGACATAGACTTTATAATACAGTCGACCTGCGCTGACATCATACATTGTGGAAGACTTCATATTACATATTAATAATAGCAGAACTGATTGGTTGTCTCTGTGGTGAATTTTAAAAACTGGGAAATTCCTACTACCAACCTTGACTTGAACGCAGCATTTGTGTCATGATTATTAGTACTCTGGAGATCAGCTCTTCTATCTTAACTGCTCCACCTGCTCTGGCAGTAAGAAATGTAGTGAAGTGTCCTTCTTAAAGTCTGAGGCGAGACACTAAAGCCCCCAAACGCATTAACTTTGATGAGACAGTCGGTCCCCGAGGGGCGGGGAGGGGGGGGTGGTGGGTCAACAACACCTTTTCTACACAGTGCGTTATATCTTTATTCAGAGACAGTGTGGTTCGTTCATGCTTTAAACATGCACTCCATTTAGATTCGATACAAAACAAACAAATGTCTCATGTAAGACAAACATGCTCTCATGTTTTTTAAATGAGGAAAGCTTCAGACCGCTCTCTCCAAAACCCAACGAGCTCCTACTAATCACCGTCCAGGTATCCCGGTCATTAAGAGGCTCATTAAGAGCCTTGTTAGGCGTTAATTATCCGCTGATACATCATGTGTTAAATGCGGTGCCACGTTCTGCCTTATTAGGCGCGGGGGAAGGCTATTAGCCATCAGGAAATAATTAATCAACAGCATTTTGACCTACTTCCTACAAGTGATGCTGCTTTTTCCACCAGCTTCATCTTGTCTTTGTGTGGTCAGTGCAAGCGAGTCATTCTGTGTCCAGAGTGTTTTTTGTGTGTGTGTGTGTGTGTGTGTGTTGAAATGTGAGCACACGAGGCTGTGTCAGTTTTGAGAGGCGATACATTGCCTCGGTGTGCGACTGTTGGAGATGATGGAAGTAGTTTGTTCCTCTGTCAGTCTGAGCTGTGATAATGAACTCTGCAGGAGTGTGATGAGGAGAGCTGAGGAGCCACAGGTGTGTTTGGTGAGCAGCCCACCCTCCCCCCCCTTTAATTGCTAACACACACTTAAGATACATCCCCCCCCACACACACACACACACACACACACACACACACACACACACACACACACACACACACACACACACACACACACACACACACACACGAGTCCCCCCAATGAGACTAATAAACGATTTCAGTTTATACTCTCGACAAAATTGAGGTCACGTCTTCTTTTAACCTTTTTCTTCTTCTGCACCTTTGTTCTTTTCTCTTTTTAATATGCAGTTTAGGCTTTTATGAAGTTATGCTTTTTTTTACGATATCTGCCACAATATAATAATACTGTTAACGGCTGTGATAAGAAAAGAGATAATAATTAGTTTTTTAATCACAGTTGGAAAGTGACTCTCATCCTCGGTCTCCTTACTGTCCAGAACTTTTTGAATTACACCACAGTTATTTTTTTTGAATCCTTGCTTTTTGTTTGCCAATATGCATTCTTAAACATGATCTGAGATAACGCTGATTACATCAGTATGACATCATAAGGAGAACTGTATTACTACAGAGCCAAAAAAAAAAGAAGAAGACACAACGGGGGGGGGGAGGTTGTTCCTGATGACATATTCGACTGGCAACCCACAATTTCCAACTTCAGACCAAAAGAAACGTACCATAAGCAGTTTGTCCTCCTGACGAGTGGGAAATCATTTGTGTGGTCCTTCAAAAGCCCATCTAGGTTTTAAGATGAGAAATGTCTTTTAGTTCAGTTGAAGGGAAATCACTTCAGGGATGTGATGATTCAAACACACTCAAGGTTTCTTTCAAACCACTGAGACTAGACTGTTCTTCTCTCCACTTCCTTTTTCTTACAGCGTCTCTCCGCTCCTCTCCTGCTCTTCATTTTTCATTTCCTGATTGGTAAACTGCTTGCAGAGATTATTTGCCGCACGTCTCAATCTCTCGTGTCCAGAATGTCTCAGTGTGGTTTAACCATGCGTGAAAGAAACGGAGAGCAAGACGAGAGATGTTGACACAGCTTTCCAGATTGGTACTAACTAAGTAGGGCTGCACGACGGGGAAAATATATGCAACTTGCGATTCAAAATTGCATCCAAACTGGCTTTTAACTCAACTGAGCGTAGCTGCTAGCTAACATCTGACTGCTTCAGAACGGTGTGAAACATGCTCATTATACCCCGGCCTCCATCCAATAGGTTCAATGATGCCATGCTGAGTGTTACTTGTTTCTATTTAATAAATCCTCTAATTTAAGGGGATGAATTCAAACTTTTACAATGTGGTTATCTTAAATAAATGCTCATATCCCGATGGCGATGAAGGTTGTGTGATTGTCAAAGCTGGATGTGTAAATCACACAGACACAACAATCATTTTTTGAACTTCTCCTCTGTTACCTCTTGTTTCTCTTGCAGCTTTAATGCAGGAAGTCAGTTATTCATGTATGATTGATGCTTGTGTGTGTGTGTGTGTGCAAGTCTATAAAAGAATTAAACGGCATCCTTTCCAGATAATGATTTCTGCATGTATCGCTGTGTATGTCGAGAGGATGTGATAGCCCAGGGAGTGTGTAACTGGTCAGAACTAAGATGGGGATCATATGGTTGTAGTAGTGCTGCCAAACGGAAAAGCTGGCATGCTGTGTTTAGACGAGTTTGTATAACCTCAGTCTACATTCATTTGGATGTAAAAATGAAATGTAACATGATGCTGTCACAAGTGGTACTGTTTGTTTTACTCAATGAAAAGACAACATGGCTGTCATTTGTTAAGAATGAGAAAATCCAAATTGAATCCAATTTGCTTCTTCGAGCCTGTGTGGGCACGGTGTGATCAGATTCTATTGACATCCTGCTTGAAACATCAGACGGCATTTCTAAAACCGACAGTTCTACTCTTGCTTCATTCGGATTGTGAAAAGCAATTTTTTGTTTCAGCTCTTCTTTTTTCCTGACCTTGCCCTTCTTCCCAAATGCTATTAAAGCCACCGTCATGGCAAACTGCTCTTTCATTTTGCAGAACTGTTGCATCCATGTAGAATCCCCTCACTCTCAGTAACAGTCTCATTTTATTTTTTAATTCCTCTTTAAATTGTAGACTTGTACCAGTAAATACCACCTTAAACTTAGATCAAAGTTGGATAATCAATGCAACCTTTGTGATTTTACTCAGTGGACAAAATAAAGAGCCTACAGCTGCGGAATTGAAGTACAGTTAACTGAAACTCTGCTACATTTACGTCCTCCTTTTGTATTTGTTTTCTCCGTCGAAGGCCTGTGATCCTGTTAAAGCGCATATGCTAGCATGTTGTCGTTGTGTAGGTCACAAACACCGTCCTTGCTTCCCAAAATCTGAAGACTTCAAAGACAGACACTGAGCGAGCAGGCTTTGGATGTCCTCTCCAGCAGCGCAGATGTCACTAAATAAAATATTTCATAATCCTGCCCAAATCCTCTAATCACCATGACAACAGGCAGCAGGGAGCCAGAGAGTGGTGGAGTCTGGACCCCCGCTTTCTGCTTTTCTACTCCCTCTCTCCTTTTTCCTTTTTTTTTTTTTTTTTTTTTTTTAGTGGAATTTGGCTCCTCGCTGTCAGAGTTTGTCCCTCACGATCACACCGTTTTTTTTTTTTACATCAACTTTATGAGAGCTTCACATTGATTTTAAGGAAATACATTTCACACAGTCTGAGGAGAGTCAGAGGAATCAGTCAAGCATGACACTCAGGACTCATCAATACTGGAGCATTTCTAGTTTCCAGCTGTCATTATAGCCCACAAAGTCAATAATTACAACCCAATAAGGAGGTGAGGAGAAAGACGGAAAGATAAATAAAAAACTCACATCGGAAGGACAAATGTGATGTGGTCACTGAATACTTGCTGATCCTCCTCATTTGTTGGTCCGAACAAAGCCGGGTCTGTTAAGGGTTTTAAACTGTGCATACACACACTTACACAGATACAGTGGCACACACTGAAGGCCTGCCAGCTTTACGATGATAGGATAATGGAGGTGATGACCTCATGGGGTGAAAGGACCTGTTGCCTGGTAACAGTGTGGATAGCAGTGAGAAAGAAGGGGGGGGGGGGGGGCATGCATATCATCGTAGTGTGTCTTTGAGTGTGCATGTGTGTGTGGTATCGACCAGTGTTGCCAGGTAAGGGAGATGATGATGGTACTAAAAAGTAGAGAGCTACACATCCTCAGGTGTGTGTGTATAGGTGTGTGTGTGTCGCACACAAACAAAACACACAGTTTTAGCTTGGGTAAACACTTCCTGCTGCTGGGAGGAATTTTCTTACAATGTTAGAGCCGCTTCTGCAGCTCACTTTGACTCTGTGTGTGTGTGTGTGTGTGTGTGTGTGTGTGTGTGTGTGTGTGCCAGACATAAATAATTAACTCACACTCCTCTCTTTCTCTGTCTCTGCAGGTATTCGGCCCCAGATTATGAATGGGCCTATGCACCCGCGCCCCCTGGTGGCGCTGCTGGATGGCCGCGACTGCACCGTGGAGATGCCAATCCTCAAAGACCTGGCAACCGTGGCTTTCTGTGATGCCCAGTCCACACAGGAGATACATGAAAAGGTATGAAAACAGCCGTTCAGAAGCCCCGGTTTGTATCAGTAAGAAAAATAGATAATGCTAAATATAATGCAACTTCATATATAGTGGAAGTAAGTTAAAGAAACAACTAAAATAGACAAATGAATAGAATAAGTGTTTATATTTCCTTGGCTGGACTGGTACCAAGATCATTTCATTATGCGTTGTTCTATATATAACTGTGAATGTAATCAATAAAATGTGAATTGAATTGACATCAAAGAACCAAAATGAACTGTGATGCCAAAAACATTTTTACTAGACATTTTCAACAATAAGCCACTACTGCTTTTGCTGTTTTACAGTCCTCGTTCACTCTCACATATCATAGTTCGTATTGATGTGCAAGCAGCATACAAATGGAGAAAGGGTCAGAAAAGCCAGAGCACATTGTTTTGTAGTCTGTCTGCTGCAACAATAGTTGTGGTGGAAATACTGGAAGTGTCTACATGGACTTAAAAGCAGGCCCACACACTCTGTAACACTGACTCAACATGATTTTTGAAAGTGTGTGTGGAATAATTTGCCTTCACTTGAGTGAAAAAGAATCCTCTATTTCCTCTTACTGTGTCTCTTCCTCTGTGATGTTTTAATAATATTTCAGCCCACTGGCTTCTTACTGTCTCCCAGTTCACCTCTAATGGTTTCATCACTGACTCTAATCCCGCTGGGTGCTGAAGTGCTGCTTTGTTAAATAAGGAGGAGGAGGAGGCTGCTAATAGAAATGCAGTGTAATTGTTCCCAGCCAGAGTGGGTGAAACATTTGTCTTCTTTTACTGCCTTTTAACGCCAGAGCCAAGCTGCAGCAATTTCACAATCGCGGATGGAGGTTTGGTGTCTTAAGACTCAAATCAAGAAAAGGAAAGGCTCTGCTTGAAACAATTGAAAATCCCCCCTTTCCTCTTATTCTGAAAACCGCTGTCAGTTATGAATTCATGTCAAACACACACACACACACACACACACACACACACACACACACACAACACAATCAGTCTCCATCTAAAAAGATGCTCTCGTAGTTACACATTACACATACTGAGGACCCATCTGGGAGGATCGATGTTGGCAGCATTCCCACAACTATAAGAGCACAGCACAGGGTACAGATGGGGCAAACAGCACACACACACTTTACACACTTCCCAACCGACGTGCTGCAGGTTTTTAGAAGTGAAGGACTGCACACACACATAACTAAACAAACAATAAACACCAAACAAGCAAACACAAACACTCTGCTGTCTTTTTATATTTACTGTGTGGATGTGGGTTTGTTATTTAAGGAATCACAGAGCCAGTAGGGACCTGCAAAATTGCTGTGATTAGTGTTTTATTGTGCTCTCAAAGACACTTATTAGAAAAGACTTGTGGTGTATTAACTAAACAAAAGGAAAGTCATGGGAAAGTCATGCAAGTGTTGTTGATTTGCAGGATGATAAAAAGTGGTGTGTTTTTTTCAAGTGTCTTTAAACGCTAAATCATTATCCACCGTTTAATTTTTTTTGAGTGCTGCTGTTTTAGTGACGAGCAAAAATTGTTCTAGAAGTGTCAAACCCTGTTGAGAATATGATTTAGGAAAGAAACAGTTTCTCCCTAAAAGAAGGTGTCAAGATGTCAAATGGAGCATGTCATGTTCGTCAGAGAAGAAAGGCATTGTTGTGAATATTGAGGCATTCAGGACTCCTTCTGATAGTCGGGGGCAAAGTGATTGACAGGAAATATTTAACAAATGACTGAGGCTGAAATCAGTCATTGTTTCCTCATGACTTTTCAGATATCCCGCTGTAGACCATTTTATTGAAGTGTTAACCTTGATTAATCCACGGCACAACACGGCATCAACTGATCCCCACACAGAAAGGTGCATAAAGTTCAACAGGACTCTGTTAAATGATGTGCTCATGGTTTGTTAGTTTATCAAACAATGTTTTATATTATATACACATATTTGGTGATCATAAAAGTATCTATATATCTATCTATCTAAAGGAATAGCTGGGTACTGTTTTTTGACGAGGTCACCAAGTGTTGGTTGGGAAGAATAATTATCCTTTAAAGACAGTAGTAGCGGTAGACAGCTTGCCTCATTAATTTTCATAACATTTACGTCTTCTAACACCTTTAACAGTCACTAATCGACCGTGTCATGTTTTTTTTCCCATGCTGTGATTGGCTAGGAGACATTTCCCCTGAATTTAACTTCATGACTTTAGCTCCAGAGGCTATTTCTCTCCAGAGCCACGTTCTTATTTCAGCTAAGAAAACATGAGCCTCATATACGTGGACTGTAAAAATCAATGTACATTTTACATATACTTTTTTTTTTCTTCCAAAACAGTTATCTTTCCTAAACCAAACCAAACCTGTGACTGTTTCAAAATGTTAATCCCACACTTTGTTTGGCTTTCCGAGCCTTTAACAGCACCATTTAGCCAATTGGATCGAGACAGAGTCAAGACCAATTTCATAAATATCAATAAAAAAAATCACAACAAGATTTCACTTTCGTTTTCAAAGCACTATTATGCAAAAAACTCCAAGTTTGTTCCTCTAACTTCTGGTGAATAATATGTTATTAAACTTATTGAAAGCCACATTAACCTGACTAGTGCTGATAAAAAAAATGTTTATATACATTATGTATATCTAGAAATAACATGTTTCTTTGGATTCGTCAGGTTCATGTGACTTCATTAAATAGTGAATAGGCTTGCTAAAATGTAAGATTTTTCAGGTGTTGCTCCTCCTGTAGTCTCCATCCACAAAAACTTCAAATTAATTGAAGTCATTTGTTGTCTAGAAAGGGGCATTTTCCTTTTAATGACAGTAGTGGCGTGGGAAAATAGCCTATCAGTGGTGGTCTTGACCAGTCTTTTATTTCAAATCCAGAGTCTGCCAAGTCTGAGACAGAGACAGGACCGAGTAAAAATGCTTTTGATTCCAAGACGAGACCAAGACCTTCAAAAAGTGGTCTTGTGACCAAGACAGATTCTGAGCACTACAACACTAGTTCTTGTTCTAAGTTCCTCATATGAAACTCCCTCTTGAATAATAAATGAATGGCCATGTTGTTTTAGGGTACTTCTTTAAAAGTCTGTAAAATTTCACTCGGTGGACTAAGTGCAGTGTGTTTCTTTCATAACGGGCCTTTTGACCTTTGCAATATTCATGATTCCATACTTGGAGGTGCACACGTCGTGACATGCCAGCTCACTGCAGAGAGATTTTAATTTTTTTTAACTAATTAACTCAATTCAAATAACCCATTTGCTCACTCTTTTCTGCTTCATGTAACCTTTCTCTCTTCTCCGGATCAACAGTCTGCTGTTGATTCATTCTGTGTCATTTTACAGCATCTTCTCCAGCAAAGTCTGCTGCTGGCCTGTTTCTCTAAAGTAATGAGATTAACACAACAGGAGAGCTCTAACCTTGGATTTAGCTTTCTTCTACTTCTTACTACAGCTAGCTCCAATAAAGAAAAAAAAAGAAAGTGTATGGAAATTCGTGGCTATACTAATCTGGCTGGATTACTTTAATTCAGTTAGGGAATTGTGGATTTAAACCTGTTCTTTTGCAGCTGTGGCTGGCAGAGCTTCTCAGGAGCTGTCAGTCTACTTTACAGCCTTGCCTGCAATCACTCCAACCTTGTTTGCAATCAGCTTGAGTGACAGTGTGACTGAAACCAGCTTTGGCAAACACTCATTATAAACACACAGTCAACCACTCATATTTTAGAGAACAAATAAACAATCAATTTGCATTTAGATGAAGAGCAGCGGACATAACTTAGGTTCAAAAAAGTTTTTAGAGGCTTTCTCGTTCATGTTGGCTCCGAGTCGGTGCTCTCGTAACGCTCGGTCTTGGAAAAACTGTCTCAATATGAATGCAGGGATGTTATTGATTAAACAATACTATTACTTTATTTATTACATTAACACAGATTTATATGGTCTAACATTTGTTGCACATAAATGTGATGTAAGTAAAAATACTGCTGTATTAAGGTAGTTAACACTGAGTATTTTTTTTCTCATCTCCTTTAGGTGCTGAATGAAGCCGTGGGGGCCATGATGTACCACACCATCACCCTGACCAGAGAAGACCTAGAGAAGTTCAAGGCGCTGCGCATCATCATCCGCATCGGCAGTGGCTACGACAACATCGACATCAAGGCTGCAGGGGAGCTGGGTGAGACTGAGGGAACGGATAGACCCCCATCACATGAGGATGAAAATGAAAATAAGCAAGGAGGCGGCTGTACCTGTCATTAATACTATCAAGAGAGAAAAGAAGAAGAAAATAGAAGTTGTTGATTTTGTGTGAAGATGTTGTACATTTGAAAGGCTGCCACATGAAACAGCTCACTCTATTGCCTGAACATAAACAACATATGTAACAGGAAGGATGAGCCACTGTAAACAGAATAAGTAATGGAACTGTTTGCATAATATGCAGAACAGATGCTCCAACAGATATGAAACTCTCCCTCAGATTCCCATTTGGCCCCTTCAGCATATGTTTGGTTTGAAAGCAGGATTTAGTGTGATATCCTCATTATTGTTGTTTGCTGTAAAACATTTCAGCTCACTGACATGGACTTTTTTCATTCATGATCAGTAGTTATATTCCTTTTAAATTTAGTTTTATACACGGCACAATCATAAAGAAATAAATTATCTTTATGTTTTTTTTTTATAGAACTGCACATGTATATATCTTCAAAACAGCTGCATTCATTATTTAATAACTTCTACTATGCTAATTTTACTTTTCATATGAAGTATTGATGTTATCGCTGTGATATCAGCTCCAACTGTCTCTCCCGTCTTACCTTTTCCAGGCATCGCAGTGTGTAATATTCCCTCAGCGGCTGTAGAAGAAACAGCAGACTCAACAATCTGTCACATCCTCAACCTGTACCGGCGAAACACCTGGCTGTACCAGGCTCTCCGGGAGGGCACGCGGGTCCAGAGCGTAGAGCAGATCCGAGAGGTGGCGTCTGGGGCGGCCAGGATCCGAGGAGAGACGCTGGGCCTCATTGGATTTGGTTAGCTGCTTCTTTGACACATTAGTAACTGAAACTTCAGCTTGTTAAAAATGACGGCATTAAGAGAGAATTTGGTAAAAAAAAAAAATAAAAAAAAAGAAACAAAACATATTATTGTTTTTGCTTTCGAGAGAAGGTTTGGATTTATGTTCCAGCTTACCTCCTTAGTGTCTCTCTAAAGAGTTTTTCTCCCCTCTCATGCCCCCCCCTCAGGTCGCTCCGGCCAGGCGGTTGCGATGCGGGCCAAGGCGTTCGGCTTTAACGTGATCTTCTACGACCCCTACCTCCAGGACGGCTTGGAGCGCTCGCTGGGCGTTCAGCGAGTCTACACGCTGCAGGACCTGCTCTACCAGAGTGACTGCGTGTCCCTGCACTGCAACCTTAATGAACACAACCACCACCTCATCAACGACTTCACCATCAAACAGGTACGGAGGACAAGATCATCTGAGGAGCTCAAAGTGCCTTTAACTTTGAAAAAAAAAAAAAAAAAAAAAAACAGCCTAGAAGTAGCTCATGTTTTGCTCCAAAGCAGGCTGCACATTCTTCTGGGTAGGCTAATGATCCCTGAAGGTTGGTAGCACAGCTTGTACCCGGTGACTGTTAACCGATTTGGCAGCAAGCACTCCTTTGGCAACTTCCTACTTTCAGTCTGTTAAACAACCTTTTCAAAGGTGTGAAGATACTCAAATCAAAAACATGCAAAGCATCTCTATGATCCATTATAAGAGGGATGTACATATGGGGGGGTGGTTGGGACATATTTGCATTATCTACTGTAATTATTGTTGTTCTTTATGGGTTAAGATTAATATGCATCACTCTGAGGTCACTGTGACCCAAGCAATGCCAAATGCGTGTCTGCGTAACAACCGAGGATCACATGCCGTCATAGTGGGACATTCTGTATGTTCCTCACCGGATATGAACCAAGCATGCTGGCTTTGAAGTTGAAAGAAGCATAATTTATTGTGCCTGTTCTCTGGCAAATGTATGTTATGATATAAGCCATCTTAGGGTTCAGATGGTATGAATGTAAATCTTCTCTGCCATGTAATCCATCATACTTCATATATTAGTATGTATATATATATATATAATGACCAGGCAAGGAATGCCACTGACAATCCAACTCACTGTGCCAACCAAGTTAACCAGCCTCAGTGAATTAGCCGCTAATCTAACACCTGGGTGTATTTTATCATTACAGTGTTACATTTAAGGTTTCACACAACTTGAAACTGCTTTTTTTTCCTGCCCGAAATAACGCTGAGTCAGAAGATTTTTGTTCCCCTAACATGCTTATCACAAGAAACACTTCAGTTATCCACTTAGTCTTCGTTGTCTCTGCTGCCATCTGCAGGATATGACACAAACTGCAAGTTGTGTTAAATTCGATGGCTGATGACATGTAAACTATTTCCTCCTCTTGAAATTGTGCGATGCTTTTTAGCCTTCCAATGGAGTGCATGTCCTTCTTGATCATCACCTACTTTCTTGTTTTATGTAAAGCCATATTCTTTTCTGAGAATCTGAAGGGATTAGTGTCGTTTGAATGTTGCCCTTTCTTTGAAAAGCCTTTTGTTTACTCGTCATTCTTGATTTGAAAAGGATTTGTTTGGGTTTTATAGAAATGTCTTCCCACGCAGCAATGGTTCAATGACAGCACTTGTGACAGCACTTCAAACACACGCATCTCGATGTTGTATCGCTGAGAATATTGAGAAAATATACACTTTATGGCTGTGCTGCTGTGTGTGTCCTTAGATGCGTCAAGGTGCTTTCCTGGTCAACTCTGCACGAGGGGGTCTGGTTGATGAGAAAGCATTGGCTCAGGCCCTGAAAGAAGGCAGGATACGGGGAGCCGCCTTGGATGTCCACGAATCGGAGCCTTTCAGGTTCACACTTTCAGTTTCTTATTCAAGACATTTTAACCATACGTTTTTATTTGTTGGTTCAGCAAAGAATCTCAAGTGTTTTTAAACTGCTAATGCAGCAGAATAAGTGAGGGAGTTAAAATCCCTTCAATTCACGGTCTTCTTTTCTTTCTGTTTGTTGGAACAGTTTTTCCCAAGGTCCTCTGAAAGACGCCCCCAACTTGATCTGCACCCCCCACACAGCCTGGTACAGCGAGCAGGCTTCCCTGGAGATGAGAGAGGCCGCCGCCACAGAGATACGCCGAGCCATCACTGGTATAAAGACATGTTTAAATACCTACATGAACATGGCAGCGAATCAACGTAAAGTTACGCTCATAGTGGGAAGCTGTGATGCTACTTTGTTACTTTTTATTGTCATCATGTCTTAACGTACAGTACACATATTTTATATTCAACATAAAGATGACAATATTTTACATTTTTATAAGTGGTGTGGTGTCAAAAAGGTTGTGTCCCCCAGTGATGTGAAAAATTCTAAAAAAAAAAATAACACTTACAATACAGAAACATGTATTACAGCTTGTTTAAAGTACCTTGAAGTAAAACTGGGGTAGCTTGGATCTGTATGACATAGATTCATAAATGTTTCCCTCCGTCAAGGTTTTCTGATGCTACTTTAATGTCACACTACTGAGGTCCAGGTGGGAGGCCATGGAAATGTAGAGTATCTCATTAATAGCAGCAACTGAAAAGATAATCAATAGTGAATATCAGGAGAGACATCAGGCCACATTTCAGGGAAAATGGCACACTTGACCATCCTTTAGCTGCTGTCCTTTAGCTAACATCATTTAACCACTACCAAGCTAAGCGTGTGAAAGTTTTGAATGACATTGAATCATCGAATAGTAGGCATTCCTGGCTTACGGTGAATTTAGCTGCTAATTGGCTGAGTGCATGCACACGCTGTTGTTCCTAAAATGTAGCCAACATCTTAAAGGCTGTTTAAATCGGTGGCCCTATCAAAATGGGAGCTAAGCATGTTACAATATGTGATTTCACTTGGCCTGATGTTTTTTTCAATTGTCATTTCAGCTGCTGATCACTTTGATAATGATTTGTCAGAATCCCTCAGTTTATTCTATATTCCTAAAGCAAAGCAATATGGCATTATAACAGCGTTTGAGTTTCCTAACCTGAGGATGATGAAGCACACCAAGTTTTTTTTTTTTTTTTTGGTCTCATCTCACCAATGTGCAATTTCTTTCCTCCTGACACAGGCCGTATTCCGGACAGCCTCCGAAACTGTGTCAACAAAGAGTTCTTCATCACGGCGGCGCCCTGGGGGATGATGGAGCAGCAACAGCCTCAAGTTCACCCTGAGATGAATGGTGCTGCCTACAGGTAGGAGGTGGAATTATGTGACCCCCTGCAGGTCTACTCTCACTGCACAGATAACACCTGTGTCATCTCAACACCTGCAGGAGATGAGGATGAAAACACACTGGGGGAGGGTTAGCTTAGATGTTCAAATGTATACTTGTCACAAATTCTGACTTTGTTAATATGAATATTAGGTTGGGTCCTAGTTTTTTTTTTTTTTTTTTTTTTTTCCTGGCGTATTTACGTAGAACAAATGAATTGATCCCATGTTAAGCTTAGGCTCTTCATTTCTCAGTTTTGTCTCAACCAGAATGAACTGCTTCTCTCACACAGCCGAGTGAACCAAACCATGGTACAGGCCATAGCATCGGGGGGAATGCAGGACAAATTATATTCCTAATTCTCAACCAGGTAAATGAATACTACCACTGCTGGCCCACAGGCCAGAGCAAATGAACATCATTTATGAAACCAAATCCCATTGAAATCTTGAGAGGCTTTTTCCTGCTTCACACACTCCTAACTCCCTTGTCCTGTAACTGAACCAACTCTGCCAATCTCATGTCATCAATTCCCTAAACCTCCCCCTGACTCGAAACCCTAACTCTAAGGACCACTCTACTGGTGGTGACTGGTTTCTACATTTAAAGTTACAATTTGACACATTGGAAATCAATACACAATTAGTAGTCTTTCATAAGAAGTCAATGGATTTAAATAATGAAATAGCTCAGTATGAAAGAGAGCAGCAATGTTTGAGTGAAGGAGCTCTTAAGTGAGAAGTAGCGTGAAAGGACACAAAGTGGTGTCACCAGGAGAAAAGCACCGCTGCTCTGTGGTGATGCATAATGGGGTCGACCTTTCAGTCAGACCTTTACAGACAAACCTGGTTCATTATCAGCTGTTTATTTTCAATGAGACACACAGACATTTTCCCTTCTGCCTCCCTTTAATAAAGGATTAGGTTACTTAGTTAGTTTACTAGTTAACTTACTTTAATTGTTTTAATTCTTGTTCCGTCAGAATTCATTGAGGAGTCCCTTTTTGTTTTCTACTTGTACTACATGTCTGTAAACATGTGTTTACTTTCTCACTTTATTATTGGGTGCAAACTGAGGCTATATCTGCATGATTACAGTTTAAATCTACATTACCTGAAGTGTGCTAAAAGTATAGAGGGGTATCTGTTGAGAAATAACGTATGGAAAGGAAAGTGAGATGTTCTTTTGTTTAGGTAATTTGAGTGTATGACATTTTAAAGTCCGTCCCCTTCCCTGAATTAAGACCCTACCATTCCCATGTATTACATTAAAGCTCGCCACGCTAACCTCCGTCATTTCTTGTTGTTTCATAGAGGTCATTATGCTTTCAAATTCCACCAGCACTAATATGTTAAGTAGTCATTACTATATTGAAAAGAACATTATCATATGAAGTTGTTTGAAATTTCTGATTTTTTCAATTTCAAGTGTTAATTCTGGATTTTTTAAAAACTTTCGAGCAGTAGTTTCTCCAGACAATTGTGCATGGGAGACACACATTTAAGTTCAGCTTTGAAAAGAAAAAACAAATAATTTCTGATATGTATAAAATGTTGAGTCATCTTCCTCTGCTAGTTGTCGTGCGTGCTCATCACCTCCTGTCCTCCTTCAGATTCCCTCCTGGTGTGATGGGTGTCGCCCCCGGTGGGATTCCTGGACCTATGGAGGGATTGGTTCCTGGGGGAGTGCCCATTGCCCACACCCTGCCCCCTGGTACCCATCCGTCACAGGCCATCTCCCCCAACCAACCCTCCAAACATGGCGACCCGTTGAGAGAGCACATGAGCGAGCCGTAGGACTGCAGCTGTGAGCGAGCAGCGGGGACAGACTCAAACAATGTAAACTACAACAAAATAAGAAAATCTCAGAAACTTTACCATCAAAAGCATCCGACTTTGACTTCAGCCATCTGAACCCACCAGCAGACTGCCTGCAGGGCAACGTTTCACACAGTTTCTTTTTGTATGAAACTATGAAGCCCAAGTGAGGACAGCGGATGTTAACACACACACATGAGCTGCCACACTGAGATGGGACTGACCGTCAAACTCAGACTCCTTTCCTCCTCCATATCTGTTTTTTTTTCTTCTTCATTTATGTTTTGATCTTTATTTTTGGGTATATTTCAGGGAGATGACTCCTCGCGCTCTGGGACATGTTGACAGTTCCACGTGCAGGATGGAAATCTGACCATCCCTCCCCTGTTTAGAGGAAGAACTTGAAGGGATAAGGACTTCATTAACTATCCGTCGACTCTCCCCTTCTTTATCAGTGTCACCCATTCCAGTGCAAATATGTCTTGTGTTATTTTTCTATTTTTATCTTCTGTTTCTCTTATGTTATGTGTTTCTGTTTCAAGTGAATATCTGTTTTTTTTTTTGTTCTTGGAGTGTGTTAAAATGAATGGATTTACACTTACATGTATGTTAAGCAGACGAGAAAAAGTGAACATCTGCCGTCTCCCTCCCATATATGGACGCCACCTTAGCTCTTTTCTAATCATCATGCTGGTGGCCCCTGAATGTAAAGACAAGATGTGGGGCAGTAAATGTGGTTTCCAGTTCCAGGAAGAATATTAAGGCTTGTGTGGTTTAAAAAAAAAAAAAACCCACTACATTTTAAACCAACAAAAAGAGGAAAGAAGAAGAAGAAAGAGCATCTACCATTTGTGGTTAGGTAATGTACATTGAGCCTAGATGAAATATTGCTGTTGTAACTTTTCCAACTCTGGTGAACTGAGGTACCTAACGTATTTGGTAAGTGTCCCAAATATCTGTTGCACCCAAAGGACCCACAGCACCAGCTAAAGAGGTAGGAAAAATAAAAAAAAAACTATAAATGTCTCAGGAAAAAAATGACCATCAAATAAGTCCAAAACTGAACAATGAAGAAAATTCTGGAGTTTTGAGTTTCATGTCCCTCAATCTTTCTCCATTGTGGATTTTTTTTTTCTATATCAAATGTATGTTTTTGATGTTCAAGGTTTTCAGTCCTGTTAGATTTGTATTTTTCCCCGTTCAAAGTTCGTAAAACCATAGTCTTATGTGAAGGACTCCACCCTCTCCTCCACGTAGTTTCTTTGTTTTTCCGCTCTAATGGAAGCCAGCTGTGGCTCTTGGAGGCATCGAACCCTCTGGGGACAACAGCAGCCACATCCATCCCATTTAGCCCCGTGACGTTAGCAAGAGACGGCTGCTAGCAGATTGTTTGGTTTTTAGTGTGAGTATTTGTATTTGTTTCTTGTACAAGGTGAACATATAGCATACAGTGCAGCTGGAAACAATAAATAAAGTTTACTGTTCTGATTGATGATTGGTTACTATCTCTGTGAAATGTTTGTGATATTTCTAACTGCTTTAAGACCTTTAAAAATGTTTTTTTTTTAGCTCCATAGTCTATGTCAGTAATATAATACTTTGTAATTCAACCAGACCTACAACAACTTCCTCACTTTCTTTCCAAAAGCAGTAAATAGAGGTACGTTTGGATGGATAGATGGACAGACTCTATTGTGGTGTTACAGCAGCCAGTTGTCAGAGAGTTTACAGATTTATTAAAGGATAACTTATAGCAGATGATCCAAAAGATCCATGCCAAATAAGGTATTAATCCATAATTTATATATAGATGCACTTTCATCTCTGTCATCTTTAAAGCCTCCGGGGGGAACAGGCATATTGGATGCTTCCTGTAGCCAGTAGGATACGAAGGACATTCAGCCAAGACTTCCTTTTTCAAGTGCTGGTCACTGTCAACAGTGACCAACAAGCAACCAAAAGAAGCAAGCACACAGTTCAAGTTGAAAGACATGCAGAATCTGTCTAGAGATATTTTTAATGAATATGCTGATTAACATATTTTGAATTCTGTGTACCTTATTATAAATGCTAACACTTTTTTATACATATTTTATGCCTTATCTAATAAATGTTATGTTACTGATGAGGTAAAGAAGTACTCAATACAAAGTACACAAGTTATGTATAGAGTTCCTTTCCACCACTGTTCATCAGTAAACAGCATGAACCGGTCTGGAATCAGGGGAGAATTTAGAATGGAACACATAACCATTGACTCATAATGAAGATGTTCTACAGAAGGTTTTTTAACAGACTGTAGGATACCGATCAAAGTTTATCTCACGTCAAGACTTTTGCCAGTAAGCCACAGTCATATTCCAGAGCGACATCCCTCGAGTACAGAAATACGATTTTAAACTAAATCATCAGTGAATCTGAAAGGTAAGCACGTCATTTTATTTCACAATTATTGGCATTTTTTAGATAGGACAGCTGAAGAGAGACAGGACAATTTCGCAGGATAGAGTTGGGGATGCGGGTAGCAAAGCGAGGTCAGATTCAAACCCACGATGGCTGCAATTAGGACTATAGCCTCTATGCACAAGGCTAAAAATATATAAATATACATAATATACTATATAAATATAGTTTGGTGCCTGCCGTAGATTTAAGTGTATTAAAGAAGCTCAGACAAACGTCACTGCTGTTAATCACTTGAAGTGATTATCCAGGTGACCTCTTTCAGTACATCCCCCAAGTCACCATACTACATAAAAAGTACTCAAACCTTTTCTTTACATTTAGAAAAATACATGTTTGGTCAAAAAGAAGTGTTAATTATTTAAATATTTTATGACCATCAACTGACTCGCTTGTACGAACATGTAATATATTTGTAATCCACTAGGAGGTGCTAGAGAAATACGTAAGGGATTGACTTCAATAAAATTAGAATTTGTGGTTAGAATAACAGATAAAAGTTAAAAGACCACAAATTGCAAATAATTTGATGTGAAAGTGTGTAAAAAATAATGTCAAGACAGTAAACATTTTAGTTGGACATTCAAAAAGGTTTTCCTTTATTTTTTTTTCCTTATTTTGCCTGTTCTTTGCGTTACACTCTGTATAGTGAAGTCAGGCCTAAATCCACAAACCATCATGGTCACAACTGCAACTATTGCATAAATACAAAGCAACATACAGGTGATGCGCGCAGAAACGTGTATGACTTGAATGATACACAGAAGAGGGTTACAGTACACAATGGCCAGAGGGGAAAAAACTAAATGCAAACATTCACAGCAAAAAAGAAACATCTCATGTTTTTTCGTTTGTTTTTTCTGTCAGCTTTGGTTTAATATGTTGCAGTCTCACAACGACCTTATTGAAAAACTTAAAAGATGCTTTGACTTGATGACAAACAGGGGTTACAGAGGAGGTGGACAGATGTGTACCATGAGGGTGACCTTGACAACAAATGCTATGAGGAACAAACAGGACAAAGAAGACAAGTGTACTCTTGGTCTCATTCCTACACTGGTCTGCCCATAAAAACAAAAGCACCAGATTTTAGGCAATCAGATGAGGTACTAAATCGCACCCAACAACGTAAGTAAACTTTTCACTGATGGTCATTGTTGGTTCTTTCCTCACAGCAACAGTGTTTCTGTGCAACATGTCTTCATCAAGATCAAGAGAATAATTAACAAAACCACAAAAAGGAGAAAAAATAAAATATACAGAAAGCTCTTATTAGCTCAAAATATTTTTCCAAACAATAAATATGTCGAGTAAGTTCAGAGAGGAAAAACCAAACACACACACAAACACACACACAAAAAAATTTCTCAGCTCAATCAGCCTGAAAAAAAGGTAAACCAAAGATCCAACATGAATGTTTGTGTGCTAAACCTTAATGAGTGTAGTTCTGACTTGTAAAAGAGAAAAACCTCCCTTTTCAAGAGCTTCATATACGACTTTGATTCAAGCAATAACTGTACTTATATAGAAATGTTTTAATAAATGTGCAGTGCTTAGTAATAAGGATTTAAGTCATTTAATATTACACAATCTCTGGTTGTCTAAAGATGATTTTTATTGGCTTTGTCCCTGCCCATTCAAAAAAACAAAATGCCAAAGAAGCCAACTCTTAATCAACTGGAAAAAAAACATCAGAAAGATCAAATTGGAAGTGTGCTTTAGTCAGTGCCCACACTGAACGGATATAAAGTGTTGAGTTTAATCATTGCTGGTATATTTCCTTATAATCTTTTCAACAACCACATGCATTTACATCTATGGATAAAGATTCCTTTTTTTCCTTTACATCTGAAAATCAAAACAAATCAATGGTCATTTGCATTTGAGAACCTTTATTCTCTCCCCAGATCTGTGCTGTGCAGCAGTGGAGTCTGTCAGTTTCATGTTTGTCATTAAGTGTTATGCCTGTCAGTGCTAAAAGAGTAGCCAGTGACTTCTGTCGGAGGTGGAGCGGGGTTTGGGGGAGCTTTTGGTTCCTGGTCCTCTCCTGAAGGCTTTCACAGTTTGTCCGTGTCAGGAAAAGGAAAAAAAAAAAAACTGTAGGAGAGAGGAGGGAGAGGAGTCCTGCCCCTCCCTCCACTTCAGTTTTGTCACTCATCATCGTCATCTTCGTCCTCCTCGCCGTCAGACAAAGAGGCGCAAGGGCGGATCTGCCGGTAGCCATCGAGCCACTTCTCCACCATCTGGGTGACGAGCGGGTGGTTGCGTCGGCGGGAGCTTTTCTGGAGAGCCACCAGGACGCCGCCCTCCGTCACACAGCAGTCCAACCACTCTCGCAGAAGCTTCTCCTGCTGCTCTTCATTACCCATCTGAAGGACGAGCAGAAACAAATACAGCCATCAGAGGGAGTCATATCAGTTGTCTTAATTCAGGCTAACATATATTTCTGCTAAAGCCTTTACCACATTTAAAATGAGATACATTTTCCACAAAATGTTCTTTTTAAAAACCTGTCAAGCTTCTGACTAAACATCAATCATAACTTTAATTCAAAAGGAGGGCTTCTTACTTCCTGGGCTGAGAGGAAGTGTATGTGAAGCAGCTTCCTCTCGCTGTCCACCAGTGGAAGAAACGTGACTGTCACGTCGTCGTCCGTGTTGAGGTTGGCGCCTGCGCCGCGATTGTCAAAGCCGTCGTTCTCCATGGCCACCAGTGCTGAGAAGTGGCCCCGCGTGTAGCCCAGAGCGATCGGGCTCTTCCAGCAGAAACTCTGTTCCCACAAAAGGGGCAAGTACACACCTGGAAGGAGAGGAGAGAGTTTGTTTTTATCATTACACAAGAACGCTTTGTCCATGATATTCTAAAGAGCAGAGGTGGAAAAGATTAGAGACTTTGTCCACTGATAATGTGCACATTTATTTTGTTAAATGCTATGTGAATATCTTTGCTGAACAACAAATTAAGTGTCATTACTTTTAAATTTAAGAGCCATCACAATGGGTGTAATGCCATGGAGTGTGGTGCTGACATATGAAAGCTATTCTAAGTGTACAAAAGGATTGAGTTACATCAATTTGACTTATTACTGTTGTATTTAAAAAACCCATGTAATTTTTTTATCGTCTTCTGACTTTTCAGATTGATGTCTTCATTTTAATGACTGCCTACATCATGAGTGTTTCAGTTTATTTAAGAATAATTAATCTTGGTTTATCTCTTTCATAGTGGGACGTCTAATATGAGCCTCACTGGTGTAAATCTCTTATCTTTTCATACCATTTCATTATTCTTGGTCTGGTGGTTTTGTTGCCTTCAAGGAGCAATATATAACTCTGACACCTAGCGTTTCAAATAGGTACTGCAGTCCAATTTAAACCATTTTAGAGTGCCGTCTCCCTCTGCCCCCTCCTCATCGAGTCTATGTGCGTACCTTATTATTTACAGTCTACGGTTGTACAGGTTGCCATGTCGCAGACACTCAAGCTTCAGTGTTAATCCAGCTCTGCATCTGTCTTGAAACCTTTCTGCATTCTAACCTCTCTCCTCAAAAGCATCTCCAAAATGTATCCTAGTTTTACCACGTTTCTAGCCATAGAGCTTATTAGAAAAATGAGGATGCTTTTAAATTAGTTATATCTGAACCAGTTCGATTGGCTGCTTCCATTGCTGCAGCTCTTGATGGTTTGCCTGACAAACTTTGAGATTTTTCACAAAATGTCAAGTGTGATACAAATAAAATGTATTATCATTATTATTAAAATGAGGGGCAATGGGCAAAACGGTTTGTGGGGGTGCCTTAAAACTGCCTGCTTCTCTGGTCAAAAACAAACCATTCTGCACTGGAATCAAAACTTAAAAGGAGGACACACTGGCTACTACACTGTTCACAGAAAAGCCAGACCTTTAACAAAGCATGTTTCCTTAATGTCTTAAGATATAATAAGGTCATTTATGATTTAATTCAGACGATATCTTACATGTTGGACCTTGAACATTTTAGTGAAAGAAAAAAGTTAACTTGAGCAATAAAAAAAAGTTGAATACGTATTGATGAGTCATATTTTATCAACAGTTCTATTGTTGTGAAAACCTGAACAGTAACTTAATCTAATAAATAAGTTAATTTAAAAAGTATGCAGTGATGCGATAGAGCAGAAGCATTAAGTCAATAAAAGTACTGCAGCATAAAGTAGAATACTGTAGCAGAGTACAGTAAATGTATGTCTATGAATACCCACCACCAGAGATTTCCTACCATGGTGAGTCTGACATGCTGGTTATAAACAGAACAGTGCAGAAATGATGACACAAAGGGTGTTATTTTTCTTCAGTTGTATTACAAACAAAGAATGAATACCTGTGTAACTGAAACCACAGTTGGGAGAAAACCTGTGTTTAGCTACTCTGCTCTCCCAGTAACCACTGTGGTTTTACTGGGTTCACTTGGTCCCCACTTTACACTCAGCTGCCCTCCCCTCCCCTCCCTATAGGCGCCCATATGCACGCCTCCCTCTGTGCGTTTTACATTGGCTCCTGGCAACAGTAAATCACAGATCCATCAGACTTTACCACAAGCGTGGCCATTACAGAGCACTTTCATCAACCCCCAGTACAGCATCGCTCAGCAAGCAAACTGAGTCCAGGCTGTTTTAACTACTCGCCATAAACGTCGACCCGGCTCTACAATCTCCTCACAGGATTGTTTGACTGCAGTTCTGATGGTTTACACATGTTGAAGTGTACCTCTCTGTGTGTGTGTGTGTGTGTGTGTGTGTGTGTGTGTGTGTGTGTGTGTGTGTGTGTGTGTGTTTAACACTGCATGGTATCCCAAAACAGTTCTAAATGTGCTGCTATGACAGCGAGTGTATTTTGTTATGTTGCTGCTGTTATTTTGAGCAGCACTGTTCAAAAATACCCCTTAAACGACAGACATAACACAGATACATGATGTAAATAGCAATTACCAACAGATCAGAGGGGCAGTTATTCCAGCTATGTTAGCTATGCAGACACATGTAGGCTGGATCTATTTCACAGAGGAAGTTCTAGTGCTTCTACTCCCACAGGACTGGAGCTCTGCCCTCGACATTTTATCACCAAAACAACACGCAGTTGGTTCTCTGCTCTCACCTTGAAATCGGGTGTATCCAAGCGTTTCGCCACGGAAACTTTTGTAATACTTCACACCGTAAACAATAATGGGCCTACGAAGTATGTGTGCAAGTACGAAAATGTGGGTCTGCTCCAGGCTGGATCCCGGCTGTGAAAGAAAACACAAAGAGGGGAGGGAAACCGTTACTGAGTCGGTGAAACTACAAAGAAAGGAGTCTTGCACACAGTGCTTTCTCTCTGCCAAGGGTTAAAACATTATAACACACACAATTACTGCGCCTTCACGCCCAGATGTAATAACAACCCTCCCAAATACTTGGTCTATTAGGTAACGCGGAGCAGTGAGCGCAGAGAAGTGCTGATGACAGACAGGATGCACTTTCACAGGGCATTACAGATTAAGTATACTGCAGTAAGAGCAGTAAAGCTCCTTGCATAATTCATACAGCAGTAGTGTGTCACATTCTAAGCACATCCAGCTCCTTGCCTCTGTGCATGTGTGTGTGCTTTCGTGCATGTACTGTACCTGACTGGCCAGGGAGAGGATGAAGGCCCAATCCTCCTGCCACTGTTCCTCCTGTAGTGAAAAATGTAGGCCAAAGCTTTGGGAATACCACGACTCCCACTCCTTCCAGCGTGTGTAAAACCTGCCGACCACAACACACACACGAAGACACCTGCTATTAGGTCTGTGACATCATTTGACCTCTCTGTGACGACGGATGGTGACTGACAGTCACTGCATTGCTCCTTAACTGCTGTGGTTAAGCTGCCATGGCGATTACTCATTATATTTGAATCGTAATTTTCTCACTGAAATGAGAACAGCATCTTAGAAAAGACACATTGAGCTTCTATGTTCATGTTCTATTTAAATCTCTCTAATATGTGTCTCCTTAAACCAGACAACTCCAATCTTGAGACTGTGGAATTTAAGAGTTTATCCCGACTTCTTGACTCGAGCTCATCAAACATGAGCAAAACAAAAACAAAACACAACTTGAGAATTTAAAGCTTCATCTTTTTTTTTGTGTCCCTGACAAAACTTAATATACTCACTTTTTCTAAAAACTTTTGATAAAGCAAGTATCAATGGATGTTTGGTGTAACCTAATGCAACAAGAATTTGATGAAAAACACACCTGTTCATTAACTCGTCTTCAATATAGACATTTAAGATTTACGGCACTATTCAAATCACATTCCCGAAAATATTTATCAGCATTCCTAAGTTCCTGGTCTGCAGGCCTCACCAGTGAGAACAGTCGTGAAGGCTGTCGTGGAGGGTCTTGCGCAGCACAGAGTCCTTGTCATAGATGCCCCACGTTGCCTGCAGCACAGAGTCGAGGAGACAGTCCCCAGCCGTGCGGTTCCACAGCGCGTACAGTCGACTGTCTAACCTTGTTCCAAGCTCCAGGGACCAGTTTATGATGGGAGACTCCTCCTCAAGTTCTGAAAGAGAAGGGAGATCGCATTGACACATTGTACTAAGATTGTCAGAGTGTGGGATTGTGGTTGTTGAGTGTCCATATGGTAAAAATGAAAAAAAGTTTCAGAAAGTAAGGCCTAAATACACGGTTGTTGTTGTTTCTGGGGTTAACCATAAAACACAACACTTAGCATGCTGATTTGCTTTATGAAGCTCAGTCTCTTTCAGCTCTTTAGTACAGAGTCACAGCCCATCATGAGAACAGCATGCTGCTTTCAACACTCGAGCAGAGTCTGTGATGGTTGAGTGCTTAAAAAAATCAAATTGATTGTTGAGTGAGAGTGTGAAAATTGTCAAAGTGAAGACGTCCTTTTGTTGGACGGTAAACCGATTTATTTTGTAGTTATGCACAAAACACTCGCAGGTAGTGTAGTAGTAAAAAACACAAATATTCATTTAATTGAGCAAAATTTCACCGGTCATACTTGCCTTGGGATTTTTCTGAAATTGCACACTCACCGATCACTCTGCATAAATTGGGGAAAGGGTTTACAGGGCCAGGTAATTTGATTTTAAAGCAGTGTTAACAGGCCTTTTGTAATCCCTAAATCTGACAAAAGATTAAAGGTTTTCGGCTCAGTAGGGTATATTAGGATAAGGTATTGTGCTAAAACTCATTAATGAAGTGCAAGCACACCCACACACTTAGACAGGATCTTGAAGGTGAAATCAAGGGTCTCTGTCTCGCTGTACCTATACTGCAGTGCAAAATACTTGACTTAAGGCTGGTTCAAATAGACAAAATAATTGAGCTGAGACAAAGTACAATCATCAAATACAGATCAGCGAAACCCCGAAACTCAATTAGGCTGATTAGGGTAGCAGCAACTGCTAGACAAGATAAAGACAGGTTGCCTTGCTGAGTGTCACACAGATAAGCAAAACACTTGTGTGTGCAAGAGGGTAAAACACAAAGGCCTTCTCGTAACATCCATCTTTCATCTTGGATCAGTTTTCTCTCTCACCCAAAGCAACTGCATATAGCTGTAGTAAGCTAACAAGTAAGCACAGGATGTGATGGGTGTTACTGCAAATTATGAAGAGTAGACAAGTCACCTTTTTGTACGTCTCGATCCAACACCTCATCAAACAGTTTTTCCTGAACTGCTGGGGGCAAGTCCTCTATGTCTGAAAAAAGAAAGGAAGGTGAATGATATACACCAGAAGAGGGAGGTTGTTTGAGGTGACTCGGTTGCAGGGTAAGTTCAGCCTTACTTTTTTGCACCTTATAAAATGGATGCATTGATATCTCCTTGAATAAATAAGCAGCAGCAGAAAAGCTGAATCCACTGACGAGGCCATCATAATGTTTTGTGTTTTCCACAATGGCCACTGGCTTTCTCTGCATGCTCTGAGCTCTTGTCCACACAGTAGCTTATTCTTTAGCTAAAATAAATGAATGCATTGACTTTGTGGAGCTGAACAGAATGGCTTTCTATAGTGGCCAGAAGCCAATGTCTGCATCGTCCTGAAAACACTGCCTAACAAAAATCCTTAGCTTAGCTACAAGCTACAAACCAAGCCACAAAAGCAATTTCACACAAAGAAATTCAACAGAAAAAGCATCAAGTGCATGTAATTTTACAGAGCAGAAAAAAATCAAAATATATCTTTGTAATGAACAGGAGACATGCATCGTTGGAGCGCTGATATACTCAGTATGCATGAACAATACTCAAACAGTTAGCCAGAGGTGGCCTCCGTCTTCTGGCAGTTGGAAACAGACAACCGTAGCATTATGTCCCCTCAGTATTCGAACAACAAGCAATTTCATATGCCACAAGTAAACAAAACAAGCATTCTATCACACATTTGGCAAGCAGAGAGGACGGCTAGACTTGGCTTCTGCAGCTACAGAGTTTTTTGTTTCTCTGACACCAAACACAGAAAATACACACCGTCTGAAATGTATTTTTACATTACAGGAGTACAAACAGGAATTCTTTCAAGCCCATAAAGGGTTCTTGTTTCGGTCACTTTTAGTTAATTGATGAGGTGCTGACCTGCTGGCAGGGTGAAGGTCACCAAGTCAGTGAGGAAATAACAGGTGAAGTCTCCCTTGCGTTGGTGAAGAGAGGCTGCTACCTCACGCCGGATCTGCTCTGTAAGCTCAGGACAAACCATGGCAGGGATACACTTGGCTGCCTGCTGAGAAACCTGCAGAGACGGGAGGATAATGGGAAGGAAGCATAATCTAAACAAACAGAATTCATATGAGACAAGCTGAGAATTTCACTGGCAACTGCACAATAAAAGTGTTGACATGCAGAATATGCATTCAAACAGCCAAGGGCTTTCAGCTGCCTGGGACCTTTTCACTTACCACTTAAAAAAAAGTAGGTTTCTAAGATCAGATCAAAGATGTTCTTTGAGATACAGAAAGCATCGGTGAAGAACTCTCTTATTCTAAAACATTATGGAAAAGGCTGTGGTAGATGAGGAGGCAGAGTTTGAACCAATGAATGTTTAAAATGTTAGAAAAGGACCATAATCTCAACGTAATCTCAGATATTCTGCAGTTAAAAAAATTATCTCAAATCAAAAAAATTAATCCAGATGCCATATAAAAAAAAAGATTTCAACAGTGACTAAGTTCTAGGGGAAATGTTTTGTTGCAGAAGTGACCGTTTAAGGCGAGAAATGGCTGCTGAACATTAATTTGGGTTTTAGGCATACAGTGAGAACATAATGGCTTCTTAGTGAATTTATTTCTCTATCATGGTTAAGACTGACCACTTCAAAAGCCTTCAAATGTTTTGTCTCGGAGGGAGATGACTTTGTGACCTAAGACAAATTAACTTTCATTACTCTAATTCAAATGACCTGAAGGATAAGTGCAGGTTAAGAAATGTTCCTGTGTAAGATGTTCAATCAGATAGGGCTCGTTTTGGGGTATGATCCAGTGGTTACTCACTGACCCTCCTTGGAAGAGAAACTAGGACAGAGGCTGAGAGTGGGTGGTGAGGTGTGTGTGTGTGTACAGATAATCTGGCATCATAGTGCTGATGGCAAGCAAGCTGCAGTACATCTCATGTACATGTAAACTGAAGACACACGTATAAGCTTAGTAAGCCTTTGTGTTATATCAACAAACTGGATGTAAAAAAGAGATTCTATATAAAATATTTGAACAGCTATCAAATGGAGACAGGGTGGTGATTTGTTGTATGAGGCCTCTTCTCGGTGTGCAGCTGAATTCCAGCCTCTTTACTCCTGCAAACTCGTCAGCCCCTTTGATTGTTCCTCCTGGTTGATTCATACTCTGTATAAAACATGGACGCTCAGTTTCTGTGACATCACCCATTGGTTGCTGAAGCAAACTTTTTTTTGCACCAGGCTTTAAGCATGTTTATTTATGCTGTAAACATGGCTTTGTTAGAAATGGTGTGTATGTGACTTCTGGGCTTTTGAAGCCAGCCTTTAGTGAACACTGCAGGTTTGTGCGCTTTCAAGTGGACTTCCTTTTCCACACTTGAGGTTGCCACTTGGGTTGATCTCATCTGATGCCAAGATGAAGAAAAAGCTGAAACATCTCTCAAACATTTCTGTAATTATACTATAATTTAAGATAGCCTCAAATTTCTATTATTTGCTTTAAACCCCATATTTAAAATATAAATCAAACCTTTCCATGATAATATCATTATGTTTTTTTTTATTGCAAGAAAACAATCAAAACACAGAAAAAACACCAGAAAAAACAATTACAATGAGAACAGGCCAGTGAAGACAAGTGTGTGTGTGTGTGTGTGTCTGTGTGTGTCTGTGTGTGTGTGTGTGTGTGTGTGTGTGTGTGTGTGTGTGTGTGTGTGTGTGTGTGTGTGTGTGTGTGTGTGTGTGTGTGTGTGTGAGTGTTGTGATTGGCTCTCTTGTGGTGAGGGCTATGTAGGAGCAGGATCTTTGATTATCTAGAATAATCATATTCATGATCAGAATCAATTAGTAAAATGTCAAATGACCATAAATATTTACAGCATGGCAATAACAATAATGCTGCCAACCTAAACCAGACTTCAGGTACGATTGGATTGTTACAGTCCAGGAAGGTCAAACAGGGTACCACTTCACAGTTTCTTTTCTTATGATAATTTTATTTTTGTCAGAATTTTTATTATTTATGTGGCAGTTGTTGTTTTTTTTTTTTATCTTAAGCTTTGACTCAAAATCTCTCTTGATGGGACTGAGCTTGATCCCTTTAAGAACACTGTCTTCAGAGACTGAGGAGGAGGCCTGTTCATCAGGGGCTGTTGCCATTTGAACTGATGATGTATTGGTAGAAATATAGGTTGAACCTGCTATCCTTTCAAATGCTGCCTGTCCAAGAGCATGGCTGAGGAGTGGCCTGAATTGGGTCTTTGTATCCAGTGATGGGGCAATATACTGCATATAGTTATCACATCAAAATGCAGGTGGAGTGGAAGCATGACAAACAGATGTGAGTGATAAAATGTGTGATTGACATACGGACCAACACTTTTGATCAACCAACTGGTGTTGTAAGTGGTAAAGTCTAATGTCTGGTCACAGTGTAAAGAAAATTCCCTTCATCAGTAAATACTGTGATTACAGGTGATTCATGTAATCTTATTGGCTGTCTGTACTGACCTCAGTAAGTAACACAGCCAACATGTCCTGCCTCTGGAAGCGGATGGCGAGGTGAACCAGCGTGAAGCCGTCGTCAAACGCTGAGGACCGGTTTAATAGACGCACCTCGTCTGATGTAAGCTGTCGTGCGATGTCACCACCCGATGACTTGTAGGCCTCCACAGCTGCCAGGTCACCTTCCACAACACCTTTCAGTCAGATATGGAGACACAGAAAAGTCACATGTATGAATAACATTTAAAAATAGTGCCTAAAGACTTTATCTGTTTATACTTTTACATGAGACATTTAAGATCCTGGAACCAATTAAAACAGATTCAAGTTAACAGTTTGTATGGAACATTGAATCAAGACATCAAACACAGAATTAACAGTGTGAGGATTATTATCAATCAAAGGATTTTATAAGAACACTAAAAGAGTTCATGGGTTACTTCACAAAAGTAGTTAAAATATCAACTTGACCGTATAAAACAGATACAAATCATATTTATCAACAAACTGAATCTGTGCAGAGGACATTCTGTGCTCTACCAAACAGTATAAAATAATACAGATCAGTATGTCACAGCTGTAACAGCTTCAAGACTTCACTGACTTTGAAGTCAGGGGGAGACGACAATAGGGGGGCCACATTGTAGGCTGTCAGTTATTTTTTACCCTATTAATCTTAAGTCTAAGATTTCTTAGCAAGAGGGCTGAAGTCTGAAGGATTATTTGTTCAGTCCGATGCAGGTGATTACTTAAAAAAAGTGTTTTCTGTCTGACAGCGTCACATTAAATCAACCACTTGCACACAAACCAAATTTGCTAACTTATCTCCCAAAACAATCAAGTTACAAACTAACCAGCGTGCAGAACACACACTCAACAGTCTTTTTGCTCTGAGGTTAGGATGCTAAGTAAGTTATTTTCACAGGGATCCATCGAAAAACCTTACCCTTAAACACAGACTGAATACTGGGATTCAACTACTTATTCAGGGGTAAACTCATTCACATTGGATGCTCTGAACCAATTTTTGGCCATATCCAAGATTAAATAGAATCTGATATTAGAAAAGGTGAGGAGATGTGTTAGGAAATATATTCACACCACTAACTCAGCGAGAGACTTTTATTTTCTGATAAAGGGGAGCAAACGATTTGGACAAGTGAGCTATAACGACAGAATCAAAATGACCGAACCTCAATAATTTTATTTCCACACAAAATCTCTTTCCATTTCTAGCATTTACAGGAAAGCCGTCTATGCAGTATTCTCTCGTACATTTGACAGCATTAAAACACTGCCGTGCTTTTGTTCTCACGTCAAAGGACCACACACAATGCTCAGCTGCATAATCTGTGTGTGAGTAAGACCGAGAGCGAGAGAGACATGGAGTGGGTGGAAGGACTCACTGTGCCATGTAAAGTTGGCTGGCATTGTACGAGATGAGGAGAGAAACTACACACAATAGCAGCGCAGTGTGATAGAGAGGGATCACAATCACTTTCCAAAAAGACACTCCATTAGTGTGGGTGTGCCTGCAGCCCTGCAGTCAGTACTGTACTCCTTTAGAGAGCACAAAAGGTGCAAATACACCAAAAGGTTCACACTTAAAGACAGGCTGATGAGACGGCACGGATCAGGCTGGTGTATTCTTCCACACACTACATGTCCTTTCATTTCAGAGGGAAAAAAAAACCAGCCGTCAGACAAATGTTCATTATTTAAGGCTTGTGATTGGTAACTTCTAGCTGCTACACCAGTCACTCACCAGTGAGTTATACACCACCATGTGAAGTTCTCTCTTACTCACATTTAAGGATTAACATTGGCATAAATTAACCACACTGCTTCCTTCATCCTTTTCAGAAAAAAACCCTCTGCCTCTTTCTCTTCTTTTTTATCTCTGCGCTAAACGTTAATGATGAGGCATTTGACCTTTATCTTGGAGCAAGCAAAATAAGGTGCAAAATTAATTGAACAATAATAGCAGTTTTGTTTCTGTCATATGGTAAGTAATGGTTTCAGGATATTGAAAAATAAAACCTTATTATTTATACAGATCACATGATTATAACATATTTTGCCATTAGTTAAGGAGTTAATTTTTGCATCACTATAAATATTTTCAGTTGTAAAATGATTCAAATCACGATGATATAGTCCTTGTTGCAATCAGAACCAAACAAACTTGTGTTTCTACATCGTGAGGCGAAGATTTATGGACAGTGGGGAATTTCTAAACCACTATGGAAGAACATTAAATAATTGTTTTGTCACTTACTTCAAATTGAGCAAAGAAATTGCAGCTTTTCTGCCATTTGGTTTAATTGCACTTATACTGCACTTTTAACATTATTTCGAAGTCTGTATTTTAATGGTAGTTGCATTATCCCCCGACACGATCTTAAGGCTCTGCAAAATATTTGATTCTTAATGTATTTTCACTCGGCTATCTGATTTAGCCAGTTAATATGTGACACCAAATGCTGCCTAAGATGCAGTCAATTTCATCATTTCATCATTTCGAGATTTCGCTCTTGTGATTTGAGACATCAGATAAGACATGTAGTAATAGGCTTTACTGACTCACCGGCACAGAAAGAAGTAAAGTAGGATGACTGATAAAGAAAACAAGTATTCTGTCTGAATCTGATTCATCATTAGTTGTGAGGATAAAAGTTTTGGACCCAGTGTCAACCCAGACCTGATAGACAGCAAATCAAACAGGGAAAACAATCCTCCAGTTCCTTAAAATAGCAGGAACACAAATGATTCAAATGCAAACCCTAGTTATCTTAGTTATCAAGTTGTGTATTTGTGTTTGTTATCTGACATTTCTAATTGAAGACAACCAAATAGACTAAATATCAATAATCATCATCATCATGCTTTCCTGCATAGGTGTAACCAAACATGTACGAGTTGAGTTAAAGGAGTTTGTCTTGGGTCATTCAAACAGCCAAAGACGTATTTATTTTTTACTTTCATTGCATGGTTGTGCCATTTTTAGTTGAGCGGGTCCCTTTGGGAACTAGGGCATCTATCAGAGCTGTGAGCCCACTATTTACAAACACCACGGCCGGGCTGTACGTCAATGACAGGGAAACCTCCCTGGCAACAGAGGACAGGCTCACTGGCCTGTACTCAACCCAACTGGGCTACACTCTCCCTCCCTCCTCTGAGACTGTAGCTGGGTCACACCTTATTCACTCACTCACTCACTCACTGCTCCCTGATATCAAACACTAGTGAGTCATCAGCATCATTTTGTTTGTTGTATTGGGGCCAAGAATCCAGACTAGTTACATTTCTAGAACTCCCAAAAATCAAAAGACAACAATTTCAAATAGTTTTAACATATTGTTCAAGTAGTTTATCTGCGTAATACAGTTTTTAGTCCTGCTATTCAACTGGGAATATTTGCTTGCTTGTTTTTTTTGTGTTCTATGGTAGTTAAATAAATATTTTTGGGTTAAGGATTGTTGGCAATACAAACCAAACAATGTGCATACTTGTCTACTGGCACTCTGGGAAACAAACAGTTGAGGGTATTTTCCCAAGACCAAGTGAGTAATGGATAAATCAAGGAAATAAAAATTAGGAATTTGGTGGCAGAGGGGTTAGACATTTGGCACAACCAAAACGATGAGAGATTTCCTTAAAGGGACACTTCCGATAAGATATGAAGAGCGAACATTTTAAATTTAATAGGCTAGAATAAAAATCACACCCACTCATGTCAGGATTTCAGACTGCGCGAGACGTAGTCCTAAGGGGACACACAGCTCAGACATGAGGGAATTCAATATGTCACATGCAGTTAGAGACCCAGTGTCAGACCAGAAGCAATAAAACTACACTGATGCTTCTGTGACATTTTCACCACATGATTCCTTTGCTCTAAGGACACTTAAAAAATGATACACCAATTTACCATACCACATGCTTGCTTAACTGGGATTTAAAAAATAAATGTGGCTTTCAATTTTTGGCTGTCAGACACAGCAGTCAACAAAAAAGACTGAGAAAGGACTGGAGGTTGTGTGGGTGTGCAGAACAAACTATGTAGGCAATGGCGGAGGCCGGCGAAAGAGTGAGATAGTGTTTGAGAGAGATGGGAAAAACCAATCACTACTTGTTCTTTAAATGTTCATTCTCCCTCCTACTCCACATTCAATACCCGTCTACAGTGTGGGTGGCCAGATACATGGAGTTTCTGTAGTGAAGTTTTACAAAAGCTGAATGCAGGGGATTTCTAAGTAAATATGAAATCTGACTCATGGACTATATAACTGGATTGCAATGAATTTCCTTGCAGATGTTTGAGAAACAAATGCGCTAAACGAATTATTTGGAAAAATCCCTCTATGGCCCCCTTTCCCCTTATAGCCTGCCTTACATCATTCAGTTGACTCATTACCCAGTACACAGTGAAACAAAAAACAATGAAGTTGATGAAGCACATGTTCTTTGAACTCACCGACACAGGCATTGAGGAACAGCCAATCAGTCCTTCTCATCCTGTTCTTTATCTGCTTCAGTTTTTTGAAATCCACCTCCAGCTCCTCTCTGCTTCCAATCCCAGCCCCTGATGCCACTTCAATCCTCTGAAAGTCCATGTTCACTTCTGACTCCTTTTTTGTTGTCGGGGGTGACCTCCTTTGGCTGCTACTACAACCCCCCAGCCCACCTACCACACTCCCTACTCCTTGCCCAACCACATGTCCAACAACACCCCTCCTGTTGTCTCTGTCCTGTTCATTAAGTTTGGAGGAAGGTTGTTGACTCTCGGGCTCTGACGCTAGTTCGATGGGTTCAGCTAGCAGACTATTTGGCCTCGGGTGGTCACAAACCACACACTTCAGTGCCTTGACCCAGTTCTCGTAAGTGCAGGCAGTGCAGGTCCAGTGTTGTGTGTGAGTGTTGAGCCTGTTACGGTCATTGTATTCCTCACATGGGTCTGTAGTTGTGGCTGGGGGAGCAGGGCGGCATCCAGAGCTTGAGGTCTGGGGTGATTCCAAGGAGCTGCGGGGCTGCTGGGTATGAAGTCCTTGATGGGCTGCATGTTGTCGATGCTGCTGTTGTTGAGCCTGTTGCCTATGGCACAGGCACTGAGTGCAACGGATGGCTCGAGGCCAGTTCAGGTAGGTGCACATGTGGCATGACCACTTGCTACTAGTCTCAGGTACGTCAGCAATGCGGACACGGGGTCGAGCGCTCGAGTCTGGACAAATAAGTAAGCTGGAGCCCCCTTGGGACGGGCTGTTGCTGAGGCCTGCAGGGTCCCACTGGTGCAGACCGGCATCCAGAGCAGGACTGCTCTTGAAGGGCTCCTCGGTAATGATGGCACTCCCGCTGGGCCTCTGAGCGCGGCACATGGTGCACTTTATGGCTGACGGCCAGTTCTCGTATGTGCAGTATTCACAGGCCCACTTGGCAAGCGGCTCGGTCATCGTCGCACCACCGCTAAGGGGGGCTTCCTGCCGTTCAGAGGGGTTCTCAGCTCGGCAGATCCACTCTTAAGGAGATCACACAGCAAGCAGTCCACTGGGGTGTAACAGAAATAAAAAAAAAAGCGAGGAGAATTTTACAAGAAAATAAATTATGTCATGCTAAATAAAAACAATGAATGCCACATAAGTTAAAAAGACAAACACTCTGAAATAGTTAAAATGTTTATGGATTCACTTTAATTAACATTTCTGCAATGATAAAAAAAAGTGTTACACTTTGAGGTATTCATAGGTGAACCTCTTGCTGTCATTACAGACACCTGTGTGTCCCTGATCATTTACTGACCAACACTTGCAGAAGACTACAGTGCGGTCTGCTCTTCATCTGGCACTCATCTGCAGCCTCAAACATTCAAAGTAAGTGACGTTTAAAAGAGACCCACAAGACAAACACCGAGGGCGAAGATGCGAAGGTGACACTTCTCAAAACCTAACGCTGGCTTGTAACACGTACAGTAAAATTACTCGGACCAGGCAAATGGGTCCTAACAGAGCTGGGTAACAAGAGACAAGGACATAATGAAACCAGATACCCAGCAGGGGAAGCGCGTGACTGGTTAAGACACTTACAGATGCACTGAAATTCAATTCGCCCCCAAAGCAAAACAAAACTATTAAAGACCACATGTGCCCTTGTTTTAAACCATATTTACGAGACAGAAAAAAAGAGATCACAATAATTAAATTAACGCTAACCTTGCTTGGGGGGGGGGGGTCGCAAAGGCAAAAAAAAAAAAAAAAAAAAAATAGTAGGTTGTGTGTTTACACCACGCCTCCCAAGTTGACAAACATTTTATTTGCGAGTAGCAAAAACAGGAACGTTTTCATGCTTAACACTTGGACAAAAGGTGGTTCAACCTGTTCACCAGTGACTAGCGACTTGTCAAGTGAATGACAACAAAAGGGAGTTCAGTTGTAAATAAACAACAAACTAAGGTGTTCTTCCAAATGAGAAGAAAAAGAGTTACGTGTGCAGTTATACTTCATTATAAACACTGTGTATGTCGTGTTAACAGAGCCCACAGTGGGAGCTCTCTAGTAGTTATCCTTTTCATGACAACCAGGCAACACTCGTTCTTGTTGCCAGCCAGGAATTAAAGCCAAGCTAGCAGGCTGCTCGCTAACATTACGGGATTATGTAGCCGTTTTTTTTTTTTTTTTAAGAGGCCCTTATCAACTCATCACAAGATAACGATGAAGCGCTTACCTTTGCTTTGCTTGTGTTTACACTCCTCGGAGCCAAAACAAACGGGAGCTTCCTCCAGAAAACTCCAATCCGAACTCAGGCTGTTACTTGACCGATACTAACCCGCATATTTACTTCTTCGGGGCGCCGTTTAGTTGACAGTTGAATGTCCATACATACCGCTGAGTAAGAAAACCCCCCCCCCCAATCCCAAGCCGTTTGCTTTTACGCTTTTAAATCATTTTTATCCTCTTCCCGATTCCCACCACAAAACTGACGGGCTTTAATGGCGGCACAGGGGAAGGAAAGCAACCGAGGCAGGGCTCTAAAAAAAAAAAAAAAAAAAAAAAATACACTACGAGGAGAGAGCTCTCTGGGCCGTGTCACAGTCAGGGGGCAGGATCAGGATTTACCACCTGAATGTGCCGAGCAACCGGATTGGCCAATGTTTGTGTATCCCTTGGCGAGAACCAATCACATTCTACGTCTCTCATTCCAACTGTTAAAAGGCTCAGTTAAAGCAAAACAGGCTCGGCTGTCACAGTAATAATCTTTTTTTTTTTTTTTACCGATGAGACACGTATTATTTTACTCTACGACAGGCTCAGTTATTTAAAGTAAACGTGTTTAGTTTTTAATTCGTGCATCGTAATCATGTTTCATGTCTGGCAAGCAACCACGTGGTATCACCTCAAAAAGGGACAAGAGGATGATGTCATCGTAAAAATACTGCAGCAAGCACTCTGCAGTAATGCATGACAGCTTGAACAACAGTTCCCGGCGCTGAATTATTATTGGTCATCTACACACCATTCGAGGACGACATTAAATTATACTTCTCATTTTACAAAGCCTCTGGTTTACTGGGAAAAAAAAACATTTATATGGTGGATGCAACTCTTGTTTACATCACAGCCCGTCCCACTCTGATGTGATGTCATTGACACAAGCACCAGTAGGTTTTGCGCATAGAAATACAGACACAGTACAAAATGTGTTAGTTTTGGTTTTGCCCAAGTCTGTGTAAGAAACTTCTTATTTTAGATTTTTAGTGACATAATTGACCTGCAAAACACATTTTGTTGAAAAAAAAAAAAAGGTTTAAAATTGTGACAGCATTCACTAAAATAAGAAAACAAAGGCACATATATCACATATGCATGTCTCATTTATTGTCCTCCATTTAAGAACCATATTTCTCTGTGCTCTTCCAAGCAAGTCCTTGGTCTGCTTTTGTCAAGTTCACATATCCAGATAAAAGCTGAGAAGATCTAAGCTGTGCACTGGACTTTGTGCTTTCAGGCAGGTGTTGATTTTGCAATGGCCCATTAAGGGAACAAAGGGAAGGGTCAACCCATACAGTGAGAGTACGCGAGTGTATATTTCTATTAAGTTGGAAATTGGAAGGTAAACGATCCTTACAATGTAAATCCTCTCATGCGTATGCCAGTGGTCCTCAGTACCAGAACTCTGCTGGTTTTTAGTCCGTCCACAAATTCAGAGTTACACCTGGGGATAACAAGAAATAAAGACATCCAGGGACTGAGGACCAGGATAAAAAGTGAGGAGAAACATTGAGAACTTCTGCTCTATACCACCACAACATCTGAAACAAGCGTATACAGTAAGTGCTGTTTAAATGCTACCCCCCCACCCCCTAATATACATTCATTAAACTTTTCCTTACTATATTCCAGTACTCAAAGGAAACCATACTCCTAACAAACTGATTTAGTCATTTCTTTAAACAGTGTGTGATTGTGTTACTGTTGGTGATTATTTAGTAACATTTTGAGTGCCAGTTCCTGAAGTGATGCATTGGCATAACACATCAGGGCAAATTTAATGACCCAAAGGCAGAAAATATTACATACAAACACACTGTGTATATAAAGCAGAGCTTGTTCACAAGGCAAAAACCTTCTCTCACCACAAAAATGCCCTCCTTTCCAAAACTGAGTGAAACCTGCGGATGTGAGACATCCTGCATGTGCAGTGCAGATGTCTGTCCATGCTGAATATAACGGTGTAGAGAGCTGACCAGTTCATGCAAGGAGGGCGTCCTGCATCCAGCACTCAATCTCTCAACATCTTTTAATTCATTTGTTTTCAAACGGGCCAGAATTTAAAAAAAATAAAATAAAAAATAAAAAACATCTGCATGTCCGTCATGCTCATTATTACCCACTCTGCCTTGCTGGAAGTATCAGTTGATAGCAGATTCCTTTTGACTTTATAGTTCAAATTCCAGTTTCAAATGATAAAGCAAGCAAAGCCACAGCTGCAATCAGGTCCGCTTAGAAGTTATCGGTGAAAGTAAATAAAGGAAGAAATAGCTTTAGGAAGGATCGTTTCAGGTAGACAAAAGAGAACAAAGCGAGAAAGGAGACATACAAGTGAAAATTTAAAAAAAAAAGCTAGAAGTGGATTATTTCAAACACAACACATTTGTTATAATTTTAACCCTTAAATAAAAAGAGATCTGTGAATGTGTTCCATGTGCAGACAGAAACTGCCCTGAGTGGAAGGCACTGTATACTGAAGCAAGGTTACAATGTTTCGTCACATTATCCAGGTCCGTGCACGTAACAATGACCCGACCAGGCCAGGATACATGAGGTCTGCTATCAGCCTTCCATTATTGACTTGAACAGAGAAAGAGTCAGAAGTGAACTTAAAGTGGTTATACGGTCACTGTCAGTAGTTTTGGAGACAACCAGCACTGTGAAATGGAAGTAGCAGCCAAGTTTTTATGTAAAGAAGAAGAGACAGACCGATGCAGTTTTTTTTTTTTTTAGTGGTAGCTCTCTGGGTTGCAGCAGCAGAAAGGGAACCTTAAGCATCTAGTTAGTAAAGCTACAGTACATTGTGTTTGCCCTGTGAACCCCATACAACACACAAATAGCTGAGCTCAGTTTGGCTCAGGGTGGTGAAAGAGGACGACTCAAGTGGCACAACATCTCAGCATTGGTAAAGCACGATTATAAAGAAATCTTAAATGTTGTTAAGTGCAGCAAAGCGCATACAGTTTCAGTGTTATCCAAGAGGAACAAGACATTGACATTCTTGTCAATCAAATTTGATTAACCGTTAATCAACAAAATATATATATATAGTATATATGTATATATAAAGCACCCATTAAAGAAGTGGCAGAGTAAATTTAGTTTGAAATCTAATCTTTATCATTTAAATAGGCAACTGTATGATTAACGAAAAACTGTGGAACATTGAAAAGAACGTAAGTCCAACATAAAATTTAAAAATGTGCATGTAAAATAAATTCTAATTACAAATATATCTCTTTTTTCAAAATAAAAAAATAAAACCTTAATGACCATTTGCCTATTTTGATTTTAAAAATTACGTGAAGGCTACAAAATGTTGTCCCATTAATTTTCTAAGATTGATTAAAGGGAGGCCAAAATAAATGTGCAAGAGGTAATAGAAGATTGAGTGCTCGGAGTTGGTGATGCCAATGTGAAACTAAAAAGAATAATAAAGATACAGAGAGAGCGGAGTGGGGCCTGTCTTTAAGAGAGCCAGCTTGCCAACCTGTTGGCATAAATGTCTCTGTAAAATCTATTTCTGAAACCATACACATCCACACTGGAATACCAAGACTGGCCCCATTTCAAAAAGAAAACAATGAAATCAGATGCCTTTTCCCCTTGTGAGAAACACACCAGTTGAGCCTGCAAAGCCTAGCAAAGTTTCCCCTTGAAAGGGAGAACAGACTAAGACGAGGAGAAATACTCACAGCGGGACACCACCTGTGCATGCCGTTCACTTTCAGGACTGGCACTTCTTTTGTCTATCTTTGATTGCTTGAGATGCCAACCTCTCAAGGTGTGTCACTAATTTGTGTCCTGTACACACCCTGTGGCATAATTCTATGTGGTCTGGGAGCCACGAGCGTCCCCATCAGGACTTAGCGCAGCTGGTCGACCTTGCGCTAAAACACTAGCAGAGACCAAGGGCAGGTGTGGGGCTTCACTCAATAAGTTCTCGTATTCGCTACTGTCCTCATCTTCTTCATCATCGTCATCCTCTTCATCATCCTCCTGCCCTGCAGCTTGTCTGTCTAACGAGTCAGAGCTTGATCCATCACCATTGCCAAGGTACGGGCTGCTGGGAGTGGTAACAGGATTAGAGCTGGCGCCGAGGCCCAGGCCAAGGCCCAGGCCAATCCCCAGTGGGCCTGGGGTGGGGTGTCCTGGAGAGCCCACAGCTTGGGGCCGAGGCAGAAGAGCGGCGCTCGTGGGTGGGGAAGAAGAGGAGAGCAGAGAGTCATCCTGGGTCAAGAGGTCAGCATAAGATGGGGGGTTAGGTGAGGTACTGGGCCGCTCGGGGGCAGGGGGTGTGTGGAAATTTATCCTGGACTGAGAAGAAGCCTCAGACGGGTCTGTGTTCTCCTCTGAAGTAGGGTGGGAGTCTGCATTTTCGGACTCACGGAGCTCTGTGGAACATGAAAAAATATATTAAAAAAAGAGCACATAAAATCAGTTGGCTGATCGAATATTTAAAATGGGCCGGAAAAGGAAGTATCAACTCCGAAGGAATGAAATGCTATAAAACTCTGATTAATATTTATCTTTTTTGCTGTTTGTGATTGATACGAAGCCAGTTTGATTTACACCGCACAAATTCAAATCAGTCACATAATGCCAGTGTACTAAATAAAGAACAGGGGAGCTGGTGGCCTAGTTGGTAGTGCTCTTGCCCCATGTACAGAGGCTGTAGTACTCCAAGCGGGCGGCCTGGGTTAGAGTCTGACCTGTGGCTCCTCTCCCCACTCTCTCTCTTCCTGATTACTGACTCTATCCACTGTCTTATCTCTATATAAAAAGGGATAAATAGCCCCAAAATAAACAAAGAAATAAAGAACAGGCACTGACTTCTCTCTTCTTCTGCAGTCTTGCGTTTCCTGAGAGCAATTTGTTGTTTGAGTTTGTTCACATCCTCTTGGATTTTCTCCCTCACTCGCTCGCTTTGTTCTACCTCCCCACACACAGCCTGAAAACAAGAAAAACAAGTTAAAAAAAAACTTTAAAGTGAAAAACTTTTAGTCATTTTCAATTGACTTCATGTTTCTTTGTTCCAGGTTATCTGTGATTCTACTCACCTGCACTTTATCTTGTAGTGCGCTGTATACTTGGAATATTGTTCGGATATCCTTCATCACACCATCTTTGTCAAAGAATTCAGCCCTGAAAATACATTCACCATCATGTATATAAATAACATAATTTAAGATATGGATAAGACTTAATAGTAGATACCCACCACTGTTGTCAATCAAGATTTAAGATCACAAGATATCAGCGCAGTAACAACATGTTGCACATGACATATCCCACTTCAGTCACTCCCAAAAATCAGCTAAATGTGATAAAGAGAGGAAATTATTATGTTCCCAGATAATTCATAGACAAGCCCTGCAAAAACGCCCTTCAGTATAGCTGACACTGACACACAATGATTGGCTCTATGTTTAGACAGACAGAAATATAAGCAGAAGCACATGCGGCCTTTTACACACTAGCTTTCAACTGCAGTCAGTCACATTCAAACGTATGCCAAAACAACTTACACACAGTGTAATGTGTTACACACAGTGTAATGTGTTACACACACACACACACACACACACACACTGAATGTTGGTGACCCACACTGCTGAACATACCTTTGTGAGAAGGGCATTTCATTAAGCTAATAAAGAGAAGCATCTCCCACTGACTGATGCACCAGTAGGGGGGAGCTGGATGTTCCACACCATGTGCCCAGAAGGTTAAGATGTAATAAGCCGATAAGTAAAAACTAGAGCCCGACCAATTAATCAGCCAGTATTGGCATATCCAGTGACTATCAGTATTGGCTGATTTGATCACAGATATGTGCCCATACTACTTGATTTATTCACAAGTCAAATAGCATATTAATTCGAGTTCATAGTAGTACACTAGCAGTTCTCTTTCACTAGCAGAGAGCGCTATTTGGATTACGACAGGCATTATCACCCTTGAGAATGTCAAGCGGTGATGCACGATGGTCTAACGTTATATCTTTTCCACGAGTGTTTGATAACTGCATTTGAGGGATCAATGCAATAAATGTTTATATCTATCTCTACGGATGAAACATAGGTCTAAGAAAGATATCAGACGATATATCGGTATTTTCGATTTTGTTTCTCCCCAATATTGATATCGGTCCCATATCGGTCGGGCCCTAGTAAAAAAAAAAAAGTGGCTGCTGCAACTCCATGAATATCAGAGAAGACATAGCTGTCAACTCAAACCGGTAAAAAAATAAGTAGTAGTAGTAAAAAACAATAAAATCTTACCCATGCTCTTTAATGACCTGGGTGTAGTTTAGTGAGGTGTTGGGCACTGAGGAGACTTTGTATTCCTGCTGGCTCGTGTTGCCGAGGTTTGGGATCGTCAGGGTGATCCTCTGGTTGTACCTACTGAGTAGATATGACAAATAAGCACTGTTAAAACATGGCCTACTTCACAGGGAAATTAACGCTGCCATACAATTATTTCACATGCAACTGTTACCAACACAAACATGAAAGATTCTGGGTCAAACCTTTTATACATATTAAGATAAAAACAGGACAATTTTATATTATTCCTTCCTGATAATACAAATTGAATACCGGTTCCTATTCTGGCCCAAAATTCTTCCAAACTTTAAATCTGTATACCACATGGCATGGGGCACATCTCAACCAGAAGGTCAAGGGTTCGATCCCCAGCTCCTGCAGCAACATGTCCGATGTGTCCTTGGGCAAGACACTTAACCCTGAATTGCTCCCACTGCTTCATTGGTGGCGTAGGAATGCGTATTTACCAGAAAAGCGCTATATCAGCTCATGTCCATTTACCATTTACATTATTGTATGTGGTAACATATGGCAAGGGACTTCATTGATGTTACTTATGGAGAAAACACTGACATTTTTAAAATACGGATTGTAACCCATGACCTGCTTTTAATTGTTAAAGATACGTGTTTAATTGTTAAAACTTTCTCCTAGTACCCCACATTGTCAGTCCTGTTTCTTTGAATGCACAAAGGAACTTAGATATGAGGAAAAACAGACAGTTCTGGAACACTTTTACTTAAACACAGGATTGTTTAATGGTGGATATATATGGATCAGACTGTAGTCTGGCAAGATATCACGAGTGTGTGAGTGTGTGAGTGTGTGAGTGTGTGTGTGTGTGTGTGTGTGTGTGGATTTTTGCTCCTGTAGGTCTACATACTGTCATTACCTGCGGTTAGGTCTGAAGAGCACATACTCCAGCGCGTGTGTTGAGCTGTTTGCGGTTGAGATGAAGCTGAAAAGAAGGAAGACGAGGTCGGGTACACCAAGCAGCTGAGTCAGCTGTTTGTGGATGATCTGTTCCCTGAACGACATCTGCTGCTGCGTGTTCCTCCTGAACCGGTACCAACCGATGACGTTCTACGCACACAGACAGACAATTGTTTTAGAGTTTTATCCAAGAACTTGTGGTTAATTCAACTTAAATACTATAAAGTTTCTATGAAAATGTTTCACGATTCATTTTGAGATAGGTACAGCCCAAAAAAATACTATCTCAGTGTACCCACTGGTTCAAAGTGATTAGAGCGCTCCATTAAAGATTTTTGTTTGAAATGTAGCAAATAATTTGACTTACTTTCCGTCTATCTTTAAGAATACTGTTGAGACTTTCTTCATTGATTTTGCCTGCGTAGTCATAAAAGCTGATGAGAGGGCAAAAAAAGTACAGTTAGTCAAAACGGATTCATCATCATTCCTACACCTCCTCTGCCTTGGCTGTCTCAATAACAGCCGGTTCTCGACACCCAATCGGACAACAAATCTCTTGATTTTCAGTTTTTTTCTATAACTTAGATTATTCTAGCATTACCATTACATCTTTGCTAACTAATAAGGATAGCAACTGTTTGTGATGAAAAACATTTTGTCTTACCTAAACAACTGTGCACAAGGATCATGGTTATGGATTTCTGTTGGAAAAACACAAGGTCAGATATTTAATTTGGATAGCATTATTTATACAACATGTTAAAGGAGTAACAAGTTAGTAAAAGAGGAAGCCTAATCTGTAACCCTTACAATAACTAATTAGACCAAAAAATGTCATTCTTCCTTTTAAAGCGACACGACAACAGGAAACCTGTACTTGTGATGGCTCTGTTAATATGTAGCTTTCTAAACATATAAATGAAGTAGCTTGTGTACTTTTTGCCCATTGTTTCCAGTGCTTCATTGTGCTGCCTAATTCATATAGCTTTTGCACATGCAATAGTATGTTCAGCATCTAACCTAAGATGTCATCAACATGTATGTACATATAAGGTACATCTCATGTTTCTTAAAGGCCGTCTCCTCATTCCTCTCTCGATTCAGAAGTGGTTCTGGACCTGCCATGTTCAGGAGCGTCCAAAAGGCACTAAAACTGCTCAGAGAGCAGAGAGGAGGTTGATCTGAGGAGCAATGGGCCAGGATCCATGGGAACAGACTTCACGGAAGTCTCTATACTGACAGACATCCCCCCCCCCCCTAACCTTGTTACCTGGGATCAGCTCTGCTACGAGCTTACTGGTATCATATGCAATGATATGAAACTACGGTACTCTCATCTCGGTGACACCAAACAATAAGATGTTAAAGACAAGATAAAGGTATACCATATTTTAATAACATCACTACGTTATAATCACATTGTCAATAATGAAAAAAAAGCTCACATTTACGGCAGTAAATGTTGAAAAGCAAGTCCCATGGTAACAATTTTCAAATGTATCATGGTGTTGGAAGATGGGTGATTCTGGAGTGACAGACGAGTTGTACGTGACATTTGCCCCCTGGTGGCATGCCATCGGCAAAGGTCAGATACCTCTGAACTTATGGGGCCATGTCGTTAAACCAAGCGCAAGTGTAGCTGGCGAACAAGCCTGTCACATTAAGTTACTGTTTTGTGTGATTTAGAGCTTACCTACTACCTGGATCAATTCTGCCGTGCTGATCTGTGTGTCACTGATGCTGACCGTCTCTTCTTGCCTTACTTCTCCTAATAGGAAGCCCTCCTGTGCAAATACACAAAAACTATGGTTAGGAAGAGGATTTAGACATGAAACATGAATGGTTGTTTGGGCGGCTGTGGCTCAGTTGGTTGAGTCGTCGCCTCTCAACCGGAAGGTCAAGGGTTCGAGCCCCAGCTGGGCAACATGTCTGATGTGTCCTTGGGCAAGACACTTAAACCCTGAATTGCTCCCGCTGCTTCGGTGGCGGTGTATGAATGGCATTAGTTACTTCTGATGGATGATACTACAGCAACCACTACCATCAGTGTGTGAAAGGGTGTGAATGGGTGGGTGTGACATGTGGTGTAAAGGTGCTTTGAGTAGTCGGAAGACGAGAAAAGCTCAAGTCCATTTACCATTTATTGTTAATCAAAGCAACAACAACAAAAAGACAGATATTCTTGTTACAGCTCACACATCATGTAAAGATTGGATTTTTTTTATTATACTGACACATTGAAAATACTCTTGCTTTAACTTTTCTCTCTTTATAAGATTCTACACATTAATTGATCAAACAATAAAAAAATACTTATCTTAAAATTAATATACAGAACAAATTGTGACCAGGAGGTTGATTCAATTATGTTCAAGCAAACTTTATGTATTTAAAAAGTATCAGAGTGACTCATAACAACACTTATGTGACATGAAATAACAAATCAAGGTTTTGTTATGGGAGTCAATCGAGCTGCTCAAATCTGTCTAAAGGCATTACTATAAATGAAAACAACCGTGCTGGATTGTTCCTTCTACTTATGTCAGGAATGCGAGCAAACCTGTATTCAGCAGCGACCCACCTCCTCAGCACACTCTTTAAACTTCTGACAGGAGGAACTGGGATGTAAACAGCGCCCCTGTGTTACCTTCTTCTCCCTCAACATTTCAAGTAAATTGCGTCTTTCCTACACGATGACAACAACACACTGTGTCCCTGATTGATTCCCACTTCGAAGCAAAAAGCGAATACTAAGAAATATGCTTTTTTTTTGTTTGACAGTGTTGAGTGAAAATGCATGAGGACTAACAAGCTAATACAGCAGATCAGGAAAAAACAAAAACAAACAGATCCTATTGCACCTTGTTGGATAGTTACTGAGTCTTTTTTTTCTTCATATTTAGATGACACACAACACTGCTTTCAGATAACACCTCGAAGTGGCTGCAGATTTTTTTTTTTGCAGGACCGAAACACGGAAGTCACTCGCTTTGAAGGATTTGCTATCATGCTAAGAAGCTAACTACTGAGTATTTCCTGAAACTTTCCAGAGAAATGTCCTATATTTAAAGTGTGTTACTCCCTGTAGTTGTTGTCACAGCCTAGTACTTAACACATGTGCACCCACGATACAATAAACCTCCTTAAAATGCCATATAACCTTTTATCTTTTAGCTCCTGAGTACCTGCCGGTGAATAGACGGAACCAGCACTAGCTAGCCTGCAACAGGATGATGACACTGGAAAACAACACAAACTAATGGCGCTCATGAACAATCTGACAAACTGCGGACACTTAAACACCTATCGCGCGCTACCTTGTCAACATAATTAAAAACTACTTACGTGATCTGAGTTGCTGTTTGCGCTGTGATAACACACAGAACTAAAAGTGTAACCTGAAATGGATGCCGCCATGATGGAAACATCCCCATCAATCCCGATGACGCCCCCTGCGGTTGCGGGTTGCACGCGCTCTCTCCTCTAACCCGAGGCATTGTGGGAAATGTAGGCGGCGAGTTGACAGAACCTTCCTCTCTTCCAGAATGGAAGAAGATCCTGAAAACACACGTGGCTGCTGTGGTGGTGGAAATAACTCGGACCCAGAGGACGACAGATGCTCAGATAGCGACTTTGGACCCTCGAAACTCGGGACGAAAGAATAGTAAGTGTTTGATGTTATTAGCTCCGATGCTAACAGCAATTTGGGAATGGTTGGTTCAGACTCCGCCATAGCCTCATTTATGAGCATCACAGCTACAAAACATTTCACTATCTAAACGCTAAAACCTTGTCAACATATTTTGGTTTTGGTTTTTTTCTGCGAAGTTTGAAGTCAGCACTATATATCGTACCCACAATAACAGCTCATACTAACACAACAGTGTAGCATGTTGTTACTTAGCCTGTTTGGTCTTATAGTAGTTTTAGCTGTAATACTGAACAAGGATAGGATAATACTTTATTATTGAAATTCGGGCGTTACAGCAGCACAGACAAGAAAGCTCAAAATACACATTAAACAGAATAAATAAATAAAAATAAAAACAGGGGGTGTATACAGTACAAAATGAATGGTGAAGTTAACTGGGGGGAATTGAGACAGTATTTGCAGAGAATGACAAAATAAAGTGACAAGTGATGATTAAAGTGACTTGGTATGATAAAATAGCAGCAAGTAATGTAAAACAGCAGAGAAGAGAGGCAGTGTTGCACCACAGTAATGCAGAGTGCAGTTATATAATATAATGTTATAAAGAGAGTTTCACTGAAAGCTTCGTATACCTACGGTCGGAGTGGGCCTACTTATTCTTTTAATTGTGTTTTTGCAGTACACTGTGTAGTTAGCTAATAAAACACAATGCTGTCTGTGCTAAAAGAATGTCTTTTTCCTCAGCTGGGAAGATGCATATCAACAAGAACTGGAGACATTCAGAGAAATTGGGGATGTTGGTGAGATATGGTAATCATTCAAATTCAAAGTGGACATTGTTGCAACTTATCTTGTAACAGTTTTGTCTTGTTTTTTTGTTTTTGCTGACTGTTTCCCCTGCTTCTTCTTGTAAGGTTTGGTGAGGAAAGTATGAGCCGAGTGCTGCGATGGATGGAAACAGCTAAGATTCCAGAGGATGCTTCCATTCTGGACATAGGCACGGAAATGGAGCATTTCTAGTTGAACTGGTGAGTAAAGATCCTGGCAAAGTGTAACAAAGGTGATGTGGCCCAGATAGAAAGTGAATGACATCCAGTTTTACTGAGCTGAACGTGTTAGCAGACTATTGTAACTCATGTTTGAGAGCTCTGTTCTTCTGATCTTTTTCCCTTTTTCATGCAAAGGCTAAACATGGATACAGGAATCTGACTGGTGTGGATTATTCCCCAGCATCTGTCGAATTGTCCAGAAATGTTTTGAAGGCGGAGGACTTGACTGATGTCCCTGTGAAGGTGGGTTTGCTATGTATGACATAAAATCTACATTTTAAACATACGCTGGTGTCACAAACTACAACAACCAAAAGAACACACAACCTAAATTCTCAGGTTTTTGTAATGGATGTGGTTTCTAATTGATATTTGACCAGTTTTGGGGGGTTTACAGCAGATTTATTAGGATGTGACGTTAGCATTGGGGCATTCACATATCAGCTGACTTAAAAAGAACGTTTGTGCACTTTTTTTTTATAGCCTGACCAACATTTTGTTTGGCATGTATTATCAGGCGGATATAAGTCTATCACAGCTTTACTGGAAACAGTGTACAGTTTGTCTGAAATGCGCCACATATAAACTTTTGTATACAGAACCTAAGAATATATAATGCAATAATAATGCATGCAATTTTAGTAAAAATTATATCACACAGTTTTCGTCCAGCTGATCACGATCCAACTCCGAAACTCTGAGCATTGTCTGCAGCAGATGTAACAGAGCGTCACAGCTTCAAAGACAGCAGTCTGCACTGGAATTGACAAACAGGGTTTAATAATATTCAATATTTTTCAGTATTTGTTCAAGAAAGCTGCCTTCTGAGTATCCCTGGTCAATCTGTGTAACTTCGGGCAACTATCTATGTGGAGTAGCGCAGATAGCCTAGTGGTTAGTGCGCACGCCCCATGTACGGTGGTTATAGTCCTCGAAGCAGGCGGCCCCGGTTCAAATTCAATCTGAGGCTCCTTTCCTGCACATCATTCCCCTTCCTCTCTCGCCTCATTTTCTGACTCTATCCACTGTCCTGTCTCTAAATGAAAGCATAAAAAGCCCTTAAAAAAGCTCTCTATGTGGAAAAGTAGCATTTTTCATTGCAGCTCAAAAAGTTACTGTAATGGCTACTGCTAAGGTAATTTTTTAATTTAATTTATACTTTTGAAGGGTAACTTATCTTGTATAGAGTAAGTGTAAAATCTTTGTTAAATTCACTCTACTTATATGCTGAAATGTAAAAATGTTGGTGTATTTGTCAGACCTATGTACATATTACCTACTGAAACTCCCATTCAATCCTGATTTCCGGTGCAGTATAGCTTTCAGCAAACTGTAAAGTCAAACTGGGCCTGGGAGTATTAGAGGTAACTCTCCTGTGTTTACCATGTGGGAGAGTTGGATCAGAAGGAGGCACTGAGAGGGGATGGAAGTCTGCCCACCATTCAGATGAAACTGCCTAAAACCGCAAAGCATTGGCAGGGTCTAACACTTTTACTAACACGTGTCTGCAAAAAAAAAAAACACTTTATATGCGGCTGTATTTGTGATGTGATGATGAGTGACTTTTCCTTTCCTGTGTGTACAATAAAGGGGCATATATGTCATATGTATATCACCACTGTTATGGTGTGTGCTCTGCAGGGGCAGAAAGCTTTCAAATAGAGTCAATATTGACCTTAGCTGGACAGGGGGAGCGCTGTGTATGTGTGTGTGTGTGTGAGAAGTGGTATGTTGGCATCCTGTTCATCGCTTCAGGACTGCAGAATGTCTGAATAATTTGTGCGAGTTTGCTTGTGTTGGTGTGCAATTGTAGACCTGAGTGGAGTCTCCAGTTGTTCTTAAGCCGGTGGAATAGAGCTTCCTCGTCAAGTCTCACATCAAAGCTCCCCAAATCTATGTCAGGCCTGTCTCCATTTACATTAGTCACTGTCTGCTGCTGCTTTGGCACGTCACCTTCATGCATTCCTTCAGCATCATCACAGTTTTTCCATCTGACAGGTTCCCTTTCAATTTGAACTCAGGTCGTTTGCAACAAAATGTAGACATTTTAGCCTCCTTCATAAATCACACTTTTCTGCCCTTGTGTGTGTGTGTGTGTGTGTGTGTGTGTTTGAGTGAGAGAAAGAAAGAAAGTTACGAGGCTGTCGAGCTCTCCCATAAGGCATATTGTTCTGTGCGCTGTTCAGGGTCCTTTTTACTCATTGATGTTGTTCAGTAACCTCAGCAGCATTTTGCTGTAAAAGTAAACATTTGCAATTTAGTATGAAAGTTAACCACTAAGGTGAAACACTTGTTGCTTGATGCTGACAGATTTCTGCTGCAGGTGACAGAAGACCAGACATAAGGGGTTTGCTGTTTTACCTTTGCCGTACAGTTGAAAAACACACTAACTTTCTTGACTAACTTCTCGATTTCTCTGTAATTTTAGGAGTTGGACTTCTTAAACTGCCAAGGGGAGCTAAAGGACTTTGATGTCTGCATCGACAAAGGAACATTTGATGCTATAAGCTTGAACCCAGACAACACCAAGGAGGGCAAAATATTGTATGTCAAAGCCCTAAAAGACGCTCTAAAGAACAACGGTTTCTTTGTCGTCACTTCCTGTAACTGGACGAAGGAGCAGCTGCTGGACAGATTTAGTGCAGGTAATGCAAAACCTTTAAATTAATGATTGCATGTTTGATTATTAAAGGAGAAGGAGTCTGCTGAATCTCTCACATGTCTTCATGAAATAGCTCCTTGAGTCTTGCTTGGCAGATAAGTCAGCAACTCCAACAATCACATCGGGCTGATATTCTCTCCAATAATCATCCAAATCATACAGATAATGTGAACGGGAACTTTGACCAGACATTAAGATTGTAAATGATGTTAAGTCATTCTTGATGCAAATTGGAACCTGGCCATTGTGCTTGTGAGGGCATTACTTTCTGCAGTTAATGTCTCTTTTTTTTTTTTTAAGTTTTCCAAAAAATCAGTCATTTATTTATATGAATTCATATGTAACACAAAGGAAGGCCTATAATAATCTGACAATAATAATTTATACCAAAGGCTTCACTGATGAGCAGGTGGGGGTACTAAAACAGAAGTTCCATTGCCCCTTAAAAGACAGTAAAGAAGAAGACTGTTAACTATTATTCATATATGTAACATATATATGTACATATAAATCTATGATACATTGTACATGTTGCATATTTTCATTCAGAGATAAAAATATGTTCATCTTTTAGGTGTGCATCTGTGTGATTTACACTTGTGTCAACCTGGCTTCTATCATCTATATTTGGGTGCATTGTTGTCTGACCCTCAGTCAAAACATGGGCTTATTTCAACATAAGTGACAGTTACCTGGCAGGTTGTAGAGCTGCAGGCAACAACAGCCTTTTAAAGTCAGACTTTCGGCACTCCTCCAGAAGCTGTCACTCCTCTTAGTGTAGTCACTCCGGAGAGCCTGCAGGGGGCCAAAGGGTCCTGGAGAGCTCATCTGTCACACTGACAGCCTGTCTTTACTCGGGCCCCAGGAAGCACCACAGATGGTTGATGGCTAGTTCTAGACTCACAGTGCTTCTCCTAACCTCTCTGTAGCCACTGTCAGCAGGAAAGAATTCTTGGCATCTGTGTTTAAGTCAGCATGTTGACGTTCTGTTAGTTTGAATAATGCAGATTTCTCAACCTGCACATTTTCTTTGTGTCGCCTAACAGGATTTGAGTATGTTCAGGAGTTGCCTACACCCAAGT